GGGGCGATAGACCGTGTCTCCTGAACAGTTGACGGCGTCTCGTGATGGGACGCAGCCGGCCAGACACGCGAGTCAAACGTCACTTCATTTCACCAGACGACGATGAAGGGAAGTTAATCCTTGAGCGTCGGCAGTGACGCAATCAGAAAATCAGGTAGCTGTGATTGGGTTGGATTCTCTGCATTTGGTACGTCAATCTGATTGTGAAATCACGCAGTGTACAGTTTTATTATTCAGTGTTAAAACGTACAACACAGAACAATAACTCAGCGTTGTTTTGGATCGACTTCCACGACCAATTAGGCCTAGCTGACGATTCACAAAAACGGAGGATCTGCTCAGCTGCGCATGCTCCAATCAGAATTAAGCTAATATGCAGGTTTGCTAGCTGTAATTCTGTTGACTTATTTGATTGGGGCGCGGATGGAAACTTCCGACCAATGGAAACTCCTCTTCTTTCCAGTTTGCTCATATTAATATGAAATGTGATACTGCATATTGGCGGACCAGATTGTAACATTTTAACTTCCAAAAATAATTCGTGCTTTTTACCCCATAACAGACACCGCATACAAAAAAAACAATTGCTAATGTAACGCATATGCAGGCACCAGACTATTCCTCATTTGCAAACCTGTTCAAAAATCTTGCACAAATGATCCAATAGTCCAATACTAGGGTGAGAGAGCAGGTAGTGGTGGGCGCGTACTGCTCGACACCCTGGGGACGAGGTTGACATTCCTCCATTTCTATTCCATCCATGTCCAGATGTATGATTATCAAAGACAAGATGTGAAGACTGAAATCCATCGATTGTAGTTGTGTACTGGGGTGGGGATAATGTGTAGCATACTGTGGTGGAAGCGTGTATGCAGGGGTCATTCACCCACTGTGCATTGCACATTGCACATTGTATCTTTAAGACGCAAAAGAAGGAGAATTGTGGACTAAGATGGCTGCCATTGTTAGTGTGTCCTTTCATGTTGTGGGTTAACTTGAATAAAAGACAACTTACGAGTAATGCGTAGGAACTGTGCACCTTTCGTTGACTGGTTCATTTAATACTCGGCTTGTGGAGGAGTGTCTTTTTATCCATTCGTATCGGACACTGTGTCCAAAAAAAAAATCGGTAAAGACTATGTGACCTACCCGATCCAATTCAGAAAAAAAATGATTTAAAAATGGTATATCACATCATTTGTTTCAGCTGTGACGTTGAGACAAGCTATCATCGGATTTTTGCAGATCGAGTGACTGCGCATGTGCACGTTCAAAGTAACCTATGAGGGTTACGATAGTGGTAACAAATTCCCACAAACCTTCTCCAATATACCGGTACGGATACTAAATTACTAATTTCTATAAGGGGTGGACAAGAAATGGGCCTACTGATGGCCGTGTACATCTAACATCTGTTCTTACTGTTCTGCATCGTTTGGATTTGGTTGGGATGAGGCTCAAGGGATTTTCATCACAATGTCATGTTGTGATTTTGTTCATTTTGTGCAAGTTTGATTTCTCGTGTTTTGCCAAAAGAAAACCAAAAGGTTCACCATCGCACGTTATGCTAAATACGTGTAGGTCTACATGTAGTTTATTGCACCACGTTCAATTTTTTGGTATCCCGCGAATCGTTGATACTTCTTCGATGACACATTCTAGGACCGGGAAGTTTAGACTATTGTTTGTTTGTAGTTGTAGGATTGTTTGGGGGTTTAGTTTTTAGTTGAATTTGGAAGGGTTTTGGTTTGAATATAGCTTCAGTCTGATTATAAACCGTTTCACATCTTGACCCGATCGTTTGTTTGATATTGTGCTGATTGACATAGTTTGGCCCGATCTGGTTTGACAGGAGGTTTAGTTCGAAATTGAAATGTTTCATTATCTTGGATATTTAGTTCTGTGAAACATCGTTCTGTGGTTGACTCGAGATCGGTTTAGTTAACCCCAACAGTCCTGAATCCTCCAATTTCAATATAATTTTGCACACCCCCTAGATTAATGAAGACGATCATATCATACTGTTCGAAACGCCGAGACTTTATGGTGCCACCGCAAAACTTCCACTATGCGGGCTAACTCCTGTTCCATGTGAGGAACAAAACCCAAGATAGAATTTGCATCAAATATACTAACGTTACGTTTACAACACCTACCAGCAACTTGCGCGACCACGTAGGCCTACTAATTACAATTCAAATAGGCGGAAGTTTGCATAGAATTACAATAACTTAGGGACTTAGACTTGCTATACCAGTCCCAAACCTGTACTAGATAAAAGAACAGAATAGATTTTGGTATGCGGTACGCCCATAATATGCACACACGGCATTGTGCTTTACTACAAACCGCACGCATGCTATACGTAATGATTGACATAAGTGACTTCATGATGAAAAACTACTGGGACAGCGATGCTGCATGCATTATTGCTCATTATCTAGGAAACCATTAAACTTGGAACAAGAAACGAGATGGGAGTGGCATTGAAGAGGAACCAAAATAACTCACGGCCGGGTAGTCACGTACAAAACAGGGATAATGAGATATTGTTGATCTTAAATAGTTTCGAACTGCGAGCTTCGAACATCTCTGAGTTTTTTCTCATATAAGGATTCCTTGAAAACACATCAATGCCTTATTTGTATGTCTTTTTTATGCTTACAATCCAAGTCTCACTTAATAAAACCTGGGACATCATCCATTGGCCCAAACTGCGATCCCCAAAGAATCGATTCAGAAGAAAAAAAGGGGGAACGTATAAAGTTTATGCGATGATTAATCAGATTTCAACTGAGGACGTTTAGTATTTTTTTTCTGGTTGCAGACACATGGCATTGACACAATCATTCTTCTGTGGATAGATATTATTTATTCTGAACCTTCTAAATTCCGAATGCTTGTTGACAACAAAGAAAAGAGTGTGTGGGTACGTGTCAATTACAGTTGTCCTCATCATATACACCACACATTTTTCGTGTACAATGATCTGTGTGCCCCAAGTGCGTAACCAATGTCCGAACTTTAAAAAATGTATTCAAAAGAAGTGAAAAGTGGGATTTTTGGGAGCAGGAGAGCCCAGAGTTGCCTCGTCTCCTAAGGTTTAATCCTCTCACCCAGGTTTCCCCATCCTGAAAGATTCTCCGGGGACAATCCATGCGGAAAATCCTCCGACATGCTGTTATATACTCTTCCTATCCCCGCAGCGGATAACGAAAGAAAAGAAGAAAAGAGAAAAACCCACGCGATAACAAAGACGATTGATCCGTGGAGCAAAGAGCACAAAGCTCATCTTCCCTATTGATGAAAGCCAAGACACTTTGGGAACAAACAAAGCGCCCCCCCAAAAAAAAAAAATAGAATAGAAGAAGGGCAGATGGCTCCCGAATTCTCTAACCAGGAGGAAAATAAACCCCGGCTTAACGGGAGAGATGGAATAAAGGACAATACTCTGAGAAAGGCTCACAGATTTCGGGCTCAGGTTGACCAGGAAATATACTTTTCTTGTCAATCCAACTTCATCAGTTCGTTTTACCAGTGAGAAAAGGGGATACAAAATTGTTCAACTCAAAACGATCATAGACCTAGAAAAAGGTGGCACGCTTGTATTTGAGACTAAGCGCAGTACGATGTAATATACACGCCACTAATAAAACTTTATTAGCTGCGATTAATCGCGGGCGAGTTGTCACTGTTATGCAAAATCATGATGAGTTATTTACTGGGTGTGTGATGCAGTGAAGCGAATGCACTGGCAGTTCAACTTCAACAGGTATACACGTACTCGTTCGGGGACTACATACATTTAATATGGAGATAATTCACTTGCAAGCTGCCTTCCTCTAATCAGACTGAAATGTTGAAATAAAATAAATCGGCATGTAAAGCAACTGATTCAAGGCTTTTCATGTATATTATGCAGGTTTCATTACTGATTCATCCCGTAAGAGGAAGACATTTTGGTCTGGTGAGAAACGCACAAAATCTGTTTATCAGTAATTTAAATTTCATCATGATTTGTCGTGAGTGAGACAGGTTTTTACATCAAAGGCTTCACTATGATTTCGTAATTATCAAAAAGTGTTTACAGTGAACATAAAGAACGTGCAAATAATGAGTCCCCCCGAAACAATGAATAAAGACGGTTAAAAAAATGCAAAACGAAAATGTATCTCACAAAAAAAAAATCGCGGTTGAGTAAATTTCTGTGTTTGTTTGTTTGTTGGGGTGTTTGTTGGGTTGTTTGTGTTTGTTATAAGGGGCTTGCAAGATTCGAAGAATGACCAAAATAAGAGAAAGGGGGTCCTACTAGTTATGTTTCAAACTTGGAAAGAATGCAGCACTCGCACGCCCTTTTGTTAAATAATTTGCAGGAAACACATAAGAAAATTTATGTTTTTTTTTTTTTTACAAATTTCAAATGCTTCTTAGTCCAACTTTCGTTACTCCCCAAAAGTCTAAGCATATTTGAAAATGTCTAAGATTTTGAAAGGGGAGTCAGAATACTACTACTTATTTTCCCAAATTGCCATAGTAACAGTTTGAAATAACACAAATATGAAAAAGTGATTTTTGCACAAAGTACATGGCAGCAATCGCGTCAGAGTGATGAATTAATTAATCGTGTATCAAGCTTTGTATCAAAATAGGCAATGCTTACACATTTACCAGAATAAATTAACTGAACAGTAATCAAATTTGTATAGTATACTTCTCAGGGCTCTATCAAAGAAAACCAATCTTAAGACATAAGAAGACAAAGACATCTCTGAGTGTCCATTCCAGCACGTACTGAAGACCCTTTGCCGGTTTCTTTTTGTATCTTTTGTCGCCGATGTTCTGAATAAACAGTTTACACACACGAGGGCCGAAGTCAGCACCAGCGAATAGAATAAGACAGAAAAATCAATGGCGAAATCTGTATTATTGCAATGCTTTGGGCGACTAGTCTAAGGGTCGAATGACTGAGAAATATTCTGGGAATTAGTGAAGTAACTTACCGATTGTCTTATCTCAGTCTCCTGATGAGTTGGTCTGTGATGTTGAAGATGAGGCAACGTTTGTGTGTGTGTTGGTCGTGGGACTGTTCATCAGCTACACAAATCGCCTGTGCTTTACACGGGTAGAAACATTCAGTATCAATCGCCCGTCTCGGCTCCATTTCGATGAATAGTTTAACCCCTCTAAAAATGTATAAAAAGCGGTGGCATCTCTTTAAGCGGAGCAAGGCCGGTGTTAACAATAGGCTTTTCATGGGATCTCCGCTAAGTCCGGCTGGACTAGGCGGTTATTGGACAGCGGGGTGGCTTGAGTCTTTTGGCATGGTAATCAACGCCTCACCGCCCCGCTGACCGCCTGACCAGTTGTGTCCACGGAATGTCGCCGTCGAATCAGCCACAGAACCGGCAATCAGCGATGGAAGAAGAGATAGAAACGTATGGCGATCGGAGCATTTACATAAAAAATAATTATGGCCATCCGTCAGCGCCCGCCGGTCATATTAAATGGACTGTTACGTAAGAGTTACGTAACATCAGAGCGAGAGATTCGCAACGTATGTCATTAGCATCCCTGAACTTGTGGTCTTTCCATTCGTAGGCTAATGATGGTACATTGTAATTTGTAGCTCATTAATCTTGTGCTGTCATTGTAGACAAAGAGCTAATTAATCGGTTGGGGTCTATACACGGAATAAGACATTCGTGATATTACTGACATCGATGTTGGAGATACCTTTAGAAACATTTTCTGCAGGAGAAAAAAAATACTTGAAAGCCATACATTTTTTTTAATTTTTTTTTTTTGCTTTATTAATTAAATACAAATAATGGATTAGAAATGAGTCTTACCAAACAAGCGATGCACGAAATACAAAAATACAGAAAAGAAAGCAAATTATAGATGAAGAAAAATTTGATGTTAAATGAGTCTCGAAAATGAATCTCATTCCCTCTATCACCAAAATGTTCTTTTTGTTTTCAGTATTAAAAAATATAGCTGCGTACTGTCAAGAGAAGGTTCTACTTTGACAACAACAAAACAAGGAAAGGGGGAGTTCAATTTTCAAATCTCTGACAAATCATTCGGCGTTGAAACCCCATTTCTGGGGCGGGGTCCGGGCGAAGCTTAGACATCACTATTGGGCCATTCTGACCTCAGAACAGGCAACTCCTTGTAAAATGTCACCCTTCAAGATCAGAAAGTCGCGCTAAACCAAAAATTCCTAAGATTGGAATTAGGTACATGAAAAGTTCGACGTTTCAAGCAGGAGCGAGCGACTGGACGAAAGATCGACTGTTGCAGTCTTACGGAACTAGTCAATTGTATCATCTTAACTTAGGAAAATTTATGTATAAATATATGAATCGTGCATTACCTGCTTGTTTTAACTCCTGTTTTACACTTACTTCAAACATTCATTCATATAATACCCGCATTACCCGCAGTAGGCCTACTACTAGGAAAAATCTGTATGTTAATTATTGTAGAACGACATTGTCCAAAAACAGTGTTGTCCAACGTGGCACTCTATATTGGAATAGTCTGGATAACTCTTTTAAATCATCACCCACTCTCTCTATTTTTGCTAGAAAACTAAAAAATCAATTGTTAATTGCATACTAAAACAATGTAATAGGGATAACAACGGCCTTGATTACTGTCTTACACCGGTGTTTGTGCTCTGTCTTTCCATGTATGTCTGTCACTTGTCTGTCTGTCCATAGGCTGGGGAACAAAAGCTTATGCTTCACCCCGGACCTAGATGCTGCCATTTAGTTAATGTTTACCATTGTAAATATATATATGTACATGTATTACCAATTTGAATATATAACATTATGTATCGTCCTTTATGCAGCATCGAAATAAATGTATGTATCTAGAAAATTGAAAGTTAATACATTAAATGCACCTGTCGGTCACCCAAATCTAGTTATGATAAATTGAACCGAGTCGAGTCCCTCCGAATCATTTTGCTTTGGAGCGCCTCTGTCTCAGACAGGTGTTGAAGATGTGTTCCCCGTGCCATTTTCGAGTTTCACCTCGAAAATAATATATATATTTCTTTTCAATTGCTATTTATGTTTTCCTAGCAATATACAGGTTATTCACTTTTGAACTGAATATCGAACGAAACAAATTCCACTGTCTCTTATTTATTTAATTATTTCTTCACAAAATTCGAATGATTAGCCGTCAGACAATAATTCAGCTCTTGCAGGGTGGGTTAATTTGTGTACAAAATGAAAACCTTTTTGAGAGGGTTGCAGACGCCCAAAATCGGATTAAAGTAGGTTTCTTTTTCTTCGTTAAAACAAAACATACAAATTGAAATTAGTTAAGAGGAAAACAATCTTGTTTTTAAGAACACGGGGTATCAACTTTAAACAAGCATAAACTTATACTCGTTGGAGAATATCTTCCAGGTCTGGTTCGCGTCAGTAACAACGGCCAAGGTGCTGATTGTAACGGCCCTAACGTAATTGAGTTGTGGCTCAGTGGGACAAAATGAAATGTCTTGTTTGAGATAAACCGGATGACTAAGGGGGGTGCATACCGATGTTTCCCAATACCGATGTTCCCCGAAATCCTTACCCTAAACACTAGCCCTTAAGCCCTAACCCTAACTCTAAGGATTTCGGGGAACATCGGTATTGGGGAACATCGGGTAGACCCCGACTAAGGAATGGACCGAAACACCGTGAGAGATTTGGAACGATGTGAGGTGTATTATGTGTGATGGAAGAGAAGAGGCTTGGCAAGAAATCGGCGTGGTTAGGAGCCTACTGCTCCACCGAGAGACCCAAGAACCATGCAACTCCTCCTCCTTGTTTGGCCGGACACTCCCACCGATTATCTACGGGTTAGGGAAGGAAACAAATCCAAACGAACATACCCGACTCTACGGTGGTTGTGAGTTTATTGGGCTGGGCGTGACGGAATGGGCGTGGTTAGGAGCCTCACTCCCATACACTGACTGTGAACTACATTCCAGCGGGAGACCCAACAATCATGCAACTCTTCCTCCTTCTTTGGCCACGCCCACCGTGGCCACGCCCACCGATTACCGTGCTGTCCAATGAGACACCGACGGTGATCATTTGTATTTATCCAAAAAGTATTAAGTAGCGAATTATTATCCAAAAGCTCACCTGGATCAAACATCGCACTGGTACTAAACACCCCGATTATTCCGTCCGGATTGCTGTCATTTAGAAGAAATTCAGAAATGTAGGTGATTTCCAACGATCAGTCAATTGACTGATTTTTGGAAAATGCAGAGTGCTATGGATCGTGTTTCGTGATCAAAAGATTTTTCATTCTGTTCTCGAAAAGCGTAATATCCACTAGGCTGACACTTCAAAAGTTAGGTTTTGATTATTCTTCTTTGGATTTTGAGTGGTGTAATTATTGGAAACGAACAAATTGCATGAAAAGCAAACGATCCTAATTTGCCTTTAAGCAATGTTAATTGATGACGACTACGTCATGAGACAAAACGATGACCAAGACGATAACGATGACCACAATAACAAGGTTGAAAACAAAAGCTCTGAGATGTTTCCATTCATTTTATTACAAACGATTACAAGTTCAAACAATAAACAATATATACTGTGTCCCCATCCCAATTTATTTCAAAATTGATCACCAAAGAATTTAAAATACAACAAATGTATATCCAAAATCCAAAACACGTGACCACCATTCACGTGACCTACCCACATAATCGCCATGTTTGGTACCAAAACGAGGCTGAAGTCTCAATACACGAATTTCAAATTAGCATTGAAACCGAAGCTCTCGGTGCTAAGCTATGAATTGAGGAACTTTTCTTGTTTTAATCCTCTTAACAGAAGACAGCACTAGGGCCCTCGGTTTCAAGTGCTAGTTTAAAATTCGTTACTACAATGACTATTTCGCATAGTTACTATGTAGCTTACTAAGCTATTGATTATCCATTCAAGAATCAAAGGGACCACTGCCTAGAAATGTACACAAACAAAATACCACTTTCATATAGCAAATGGAAAAAAAAATACTGATAATATAAAAACAACACTTTTGCACAAACAATAGTTGTTGCATAGCAGGGATGTGTTTATAATTTCAAAGACTGCATTTAAGAAAAAAATGTCATTACTATACCCATGTGTGGTAATGGCATTTTTTTCTTAAATGCAATCTTTGAAATGAACCTTTGTGTTCAATTTAACGTTATTTGTAATCTTCATATTGTCATTTTAAGGGCATTTTTGGTGCTTATTTGTGTTTATGCTCATGCAAGTTTCCATATTCAATAGCAAAACTGTGATGTCATTCAAGGCAGATCTGCTTCAGCACAAACAGTCGCCAGAATTCTAAGGGTTTTAGGGTTTCATTTCTGGTCAAGTATACGACAGTAAGACAATGAGAAAACTTTATGCACACATTTTTATAATAAGCCGAAGTTTGGGTTTACAGTTTGAAGAGAAACGCCTTATCTGAAGGGCGTGTTTCTAAAGTGACATCACAGCAACAGCGCCCTCAGTTGTAAAAGCATGAAACATTTTAAATGTATGAAAAAGTGCTCTTTGCAACATATTTACCAAAAAAGGAAGTCTCATAGTTTTGATACATTTTCAGAGGAATGGATCATTGCTACAATTATGCTCCAGTGTAAAATTCATTTCATGAACCCTTTAAGAATTGAATAAACTAAAACAATTGGAATTCTAGCCTATAATACACGACTATAATCATCCCCGACTAATAGAACTACCTCTACTACTACAAAGGTTTAGAATAGAGATAGATTAAATTGAATAGTTTGTATATAAAAAAATATGTACAACCACAGTAAACACCCATCTTTGAATAAAATATTAACATTATATATGAATAGTGATCATGCAAACATTTACAATATAATGCAGTATTATTAAAACACCGTTAACCCAATTCAAATACGTCTTAAAAAGTTGGAAATTTAGACATCATGTCACTTAAAAAGTGTATATTTTCATTTCGCTGAAGGGGGAGGGGGGAGGTTGTTAATTGAGTTTTGAGATTCGCCTTGATTTCCATTACAAATTCTTAAGCACCACAAACGTTTGCTTACTGAAAAATGTTCCTAAAAAATTTTGTTATCAGATTAATCCCAGTTGAGATTATGTTAGGCTCTTTACTAACACCAGGTAAAAGAAGAAGAAAAACTTGCATATTTTAACATTTTTAATAAACATTTATACACCAAATAGATTCACACCTGTAAATATTTACTTTTGTACTTATACTGTGAAACACTGTACAATAAATGAGACTTTACAATTTCAAGGCATATAGGATCACTTGCTATTTTTTTTCCATGCATTTTATTTGCATCCAATAACACCACTCGAAATCCAAAGAAGAATGTTCAAAACCTAACCTGTTGAAGTTTCAGCTCAGTGGATATTACCCTATTTGAGATATACCCTATTTAAGTTTTTGATCACGAAACACGATTTTGTCAATAGTAAGCTTTTTGACAATAATTTGGCAGGTTACTTTCGGGATAAATGCAAATGATCCTATATGCCTTTAAAGGTGCTGTCATGTCATGGATGGAAACACTGATCTTATACTAGGAAGGGAGCCCTCGTGTGGATACTTTTTGTTAGTTTGTCAAGTGGAGTGATCAGTATTGACCAAATCAAGGAGGCTTCTGTTCCTAGATCTAAGCGTTATGTAAGCCGCACACTGTTATTAAGATGGCTTCTGACTAGCACCCCTTGAAAAAAAGACATTGACAAAACGGGGAACCGCCAATATAGAACTGGATAGCTCAGTTGGTAGAGCACAGGAACGGCAATCTGGAGGTCGCGGGTTCAAACCCCACTCTAGTCAATTTCTTTGTTCAACTTTAAAATTATTATTAATATTGTAAACTTGTATAATTTTTAAAAAGGGAGATATTGAATGACACAAATAGCTGCAGTCTGAGTTGTATGAGGCTTAAACATTACATAAAATAATCAATTAATTACAATACACTAGTTCTCATTGAATCAGCCACTGAGTTGTGTCAAATATAAGTTTCTTCAGCAGCGGTCATTGTGAATGAGTAATCTAGCACATGCTACTGCAGCCATCCATCGTAAACAAAATTCAACTTTCCCAGTCACAAATCAAACTAAGAATTCTCAACCCTTCGCTCCCACATCCTCATGCTTAAAACACGTCTATTTCTATAACAGGCTATTATATATGTAATTAGAGTAAATATTCAGAAATTTCATTAGAAATCCTTTGACCCGACCTAGGACCTCCGAGCACAATATTTACAACCTCCTCATTCTCTACCTTAGCCACACCCCTCCCACTTCTACTTTGTAATCCAACCATTGGTCCGTCTAGTGATGTCGTTCAGATGTTTTTCAAGACCTCACACAAATGATCGCAAAATGGAACATCGGATTTGGTTTAAGCCCAACATGAACAAACAAACGCTTTGATTTTTAACAGACACATAAGTTGGGTTGTTTTAATGATAAAATAGGATTTGAAAATAACCATTTAATCGGGGCAATGGATCTCTAAAACGACTCAAAAGTTGATTCAAATATTGGTGTTTTTTCATCAAATGAAGAAACTAAGCTAGTTATTGGACTTATTTTGTCTCTGAAAATGTAAAAAACTTATCTATCTTACGAGGTATGGAAAGGTATAGGAAAGGTCTCAACCACTTTACTGGGTCCATGTCAGTGATTACCAATGAAGCAGCCAGGCTAGCATCATGGCTCCAACCATCAGGAACCAGGACGTCATCAGTGTGCTTGCTGAACCTCCAGGAGGTCCGCTGACCGCTAAGATGAGGAAAAGAGAGATAAAAGAGTAATAAGGGATGGTTAAGCTGGAGGGGAGGGGGAGTCCTGGTTCAACACTGGATCTGGATTTGGTTTCCCAAGTGCAGTCGGTTCCGATGCCTTGCAACCATGGTCGGGCTATAGCAGTAGAAAGCACTATCAACATGAATCAAACCCAGTCTTGAGAAATTGGCAACTCGAACTCCAAGCCTAGAAATTAAAGCTTGTCTCACGTGCACAAAAGAAGACATGCACTGTATTCAAGCTAATGCACGCATGGGTTAAGCTTGGATTTTCTTTGGTCAGAGTGTCAATATTCCCAAGCCCGGATTCCATTCATCTTGTTGGTAGCGCCCTCCACTGCTAAGAACTGGCTAGGCTTGCCAGGGAGTGGGACCGTCTACATGAAGGGGACGAAATCAAAATCCAGTCTAAAGCCAAGACAAGGGAGGGGAGGAGCCTAATCCAGAGGTGGGAGGAGTTACATTCCTTAGACGATCTTTTAAGCTAGATATGACTATAGATCATCAATAGACCTTTCCCGCCTGTCAATGAAACAGTGCCCATTGACCAATTAGTTTGCAACCTTTGGTCAGGTGACCACAGTAGCTCAGCCAAACTTGGTCACAAGCACTTTGAGAAATGTGCACAGACCAAAGGTGGGCGGGGCATATGACTGAATCTGGACTTCTCCATTTGGTATTTTAGAGCTTGGATGATGACTTTTGTTGGGTTTGCCTCTCATTGATGCAATTTATTATATGCATAGTGGAGCACTGTATGCTGTATGCTAATATAAGTACTTTCCAATAGCCTGTGAGAAAAACTTGAGAATTTCACTAATAAAAGTGGAGCTCGAACCTACAACCTCCTGTTGACTGCTGCAGTTGTCTTTACCAATACACCACTTGCCGCAGTGGCTTAGCGGATTAGAATAGGATATCAGATTAGAAACACATTAGATTCAACATTGGGTTTTTGCCCTGACTAAGCACTGCTTACTCAGTTTTGTCTGAGGGGTTGCGAGACAAATTCACAAGCTTACTCGGGTGGGACTCGAACCCATGACCTCCTGTGCACTGGTGCAAACGTCTTACCACTCGCCCAGTGGGCTAGCTGATGCACATTTCATCTTATAAAGAATCATGCGGACATATATCAATGGGTACTACAAGCAGTGTCTTGGGGATACAGTTTGCATCAGTTGTTTTAGCCCAAAAGTTCTGTGAAACCTGGCCCCGATTCTGCGTTTGTCCAGCAACTGAGATACTCACGCGTTCGGCAGGTGCTACCGGTATAGTTTGGTGGACACACGCAGGTGTACTGATTCTGGCCAGTAACTGAGCAGGTGCCTCCGTTTGCACAGTAATTGATGGGGCAGGTGGTCACGACAATAGCTGTCAAATAAAACAATTAAGTGTTTTTGGCGGTACAGAGAATAATAGGCAGTGTGCTTTGGGGCAGTACAGGGAGTAACAGGGTGGTTTGGGGCAGTACAGGGAGTAACAGACAGGGTGGTTTGGGGTGGTACAGGGAGTAACAGGCAGGGCGGTTTGGGGTGGTACAGGGAGTAACAGGCAGGATGGTTTGTGGCAGTACAGGGAGTAACAAGTAGGGCAGTTTGGGGCAGTACAGGAAGTAACAGGTAGGGCGGTTTGGGGCAGTACAGGAAGTAACAGGTAGGGCGGTTTGGGGCAGTACAGGGAGCAACAGGCAGGATGGTTTGGGGCAGTACAGGGAGTAACAGGCAGGGTGGTTTGGGGCAGTACAGGGAGTAACAGGCAGGGTGGTTTGGGTCAGTACAGCATATGGAGAACTTTGCCACCCATATGTGCATAAAATCAAAGCCCTGCATGCTCTGCGGTCACACACAACGGTGCATTGACCCGGCGACCTGCACAGCCCACTGCGTTGACCGGACTATACATAAACAGCAGGTCGATCCTCAGAACAAAAGCGATGTCTGATTTGACAAGAAAAGTGCCCCTTGTTCTTCTCAACCAATCAAAACGGTTGTTACATGAATGGAAAGCTTATTGTGTTATCTTTCAGAAACCGTGCGAGGTAATTGTATGCGACCGGGTTCACACGTGTGCTGTTCGAAGAAGTAAACCCGCACCCTCAAAAATCGGGGAAATGTGCCGTGACCTCCATAGGAAACGCCTTTAACCATGAAGAAATTATATTCATTTGAAAGAGGAAAACCTATATTTTATGATGCGATGCGAGGAAGTAAGTTTAACCAACATACTTTCCGCGTATTAACGAAAGTTTGCTGAGAGCGCCTAGATATGAGCCAGTCTTCCCACGTAAACAGAGCTGCACTACTGGCGAGTGAGCAAATGCTCCCTAGTTCTCCATATGGAGCAACAGGCAGGATGGTTTGGGGCAGTACAGGGAGTAACAAGTAGGGCGGTTTGGGGCAGTACAGGGAGTAACAAGTAGGGCGGTTTGGGGCAGTACAGGGAGTAACAAGTAGGGCGGTTTGGGGCAGTACAGGAAGTAACAGGTAGGGCGATTTGGGTGGTAGAGTGACTACATGTAATAGGTAATTGTAACAGTCAAACAATATTACAAAAAATTATTGCCCTTCTTTTTTTTTCTTGATTTGAAAAATGGAACAAATCACAACAGTGTATATTCTACTGGGAGTAGAAATGGACCCAACAATAAACTCTAAGCCTGCTGATCAGGGGTAACATAGTTCAATGCCGAAAATTCGAAAATGGAATTCTAACTATGTCTGACATATGATTGAATAGAAACAGAGTGGGCAAAATGTGTCGATCAGCTGTTTCGTGTTTGTAAGGCTGCAAGCCCTCCAATGTTTCTTATATTCCGAAGTGACAATACAATAATTTTGCCACACCACGACGTGACAGATCATCCATGGACTTTTAGCAAAGGACATGTCACTTCGTGGTTGCTGCAACTATCCAAGATGTGTCACTTAGTGGTGCGACAAACAAAATGGACAAATTCTGTGACTGAAAAGCTGACTTACGGACGTCACAATTTACTCCCATGTAACTTCCCCTACACGTGCACCTGTACGTGGAGCCAGACTGGATGGAACATGCCCCGTTATTTTTGCAGGGGTTTGGCACACAAGAGAACTCTCCTGTAATTGACATTAAAAAAACAAAAACACAAAGTTATTGCCACTATTAAGGATTGATTTGTAATTATATCTGAAGGCTAATCTGGAGTGGAGACAACTTCATCTCAATTACCTGATGCATTGTGTTTTACCTTGTGATCACTTGTGATTACCTGTGACGACTTTTAATGACTTGTAGTGGACTTATGATTGCCTTGTGATGACTTGTGATGGACTTGTGATAGACTTGTGAATGCCTTGTGATGGACTTGTGATGACTTGTGATGACTTATGATTGATTTTTGATGACTTGTGATTGACTTGTGATTGACTTGTGATGACATGTAATGGACTTATGATTGACCTGTGATGACCTGTGATTGACTTATGATTGACTTGTGATGACTTGTAATGGACTTATGATTGACCTGTGATGACTTGTGATTGACTTATGACTGACTTGTGATGACTTGTGATGACTTGTGATTGACTTGTGATTGATTTGTGATGACTTATGATTGAATTTTGATGACTTGTGATTGACTTTTGATGACTTGTAATGGACTTATGATTGACCTGTGATGACTTGTGATTGACTTATGACTGACTTGTGATGACTTGTGATGACTTGTGATTGACTTATGATCGACTTGTGATGACTTGTGATTGACTTGTGATGACTTGTGATGACTAATGACTGACTTCTGATCACTTGTGATTGGCATGTGATGACTTGTGAAGACTTATGGTCGACTAATGATTGACTTATGGTGACTTGGGATAATTCATGGTTGACTTGTGAATGACTTGTGAAGATTTGTGGTTGACTTGTAATAACTTGTGATTGACTAATGATTGACTTGTGATTGACTAATGATTGACTTATGATAGCAAACTCTGATCCTTACCCACTTCACAGTCCCTCCCGGTGTACCCATCGTAGCAAGTGCATACATAACCCAGAGTTTCGTCATCGTAACACCATCCACGATTCTGGCAGGGAGTACTATCGCACAGGCTGTTGATCCCTGATGGCAGACAAACAAAAACTCATTTTAAGGCAAAGTATCTTCGCAACAGGAACTGTATAAACCAATGTTTTGCTGTGGACAAGTTGACCTATCTGCAAGCAGTTTAGTAGGACCATTAGTATGAATATCCCATGGCAGGATCACATGAGGAATGTAAACCTCTACGCTAGCTTGCCGAAGGTGACGAAAACAATCTGGAAACGCCGCCTCAAGCTTGCAGGGCATTGCGTCCGTCACCTGGAGCTGGCCCCTAGCCCAATCATTCTCTAGGAGCCCACATGGGGAACTGCCTCACGTGGGAGAAGTCTGTCCTTCATGGACATGCTGAAACAGGACACCGGCTTGGTCACCGCTGAGGTGCGTTCCCGCATGCTGGACCAGGACATCTGGACCGAGATCATTGGGAGGGCTCAAGCTGCCACTTGGCCTCGACTTGATTGATTGAGTAGGACCATTGCACCTAGTATGCTGTCCTTTTTGAGAAAAGAGGAATGACCATCATTTCCGAACAATGGTTGGCACTGAACCATTGGGCTATCAATGAAAACCTATGATTTAGCGTCGAGAAAATGAAGATGCTTTTTCACAGTTTTCTAAAAAGGTAAAGGGCTCGCTCAATGACGGCAAGCTCTGCAGAACTGCAACTGCGTATTTTATGCAATCAGATCACGCATTGCGCTGTGTTGAAAATGTTCCAAACACGCGCACTTGTTGCTCGAAAAAGTGTTCGAAATACGACGCAGCCGTAAGTTGACGCTCAAAATGCTGATACACATGGATGGTCGGTAGGAAATGACGTCATTTGAACGAGACCTGCATCTACTGAGCTGAAATTTGGACAGGTTAGTTGTAATAACCTGCTTCAGCTTTATTGTGCTGGTCCTTAAATCGGCAAAACGGCAAAATTTTGCAAAAGGTGTCCATTTCATACCTTTAAGAACTCAATCAATATTTCAAGATTTTTCTTTTCGATTTGTACTCACGTGTTTCACACCTCTGCCCAGTGAAATCAGTTGGGCACTGACACCTGTAAGTGCTGCCCGACTGTGAACAGACGCCGTTGTTCAGACACGGTGCCGTCGAGCAAATACCTGTCCAAAAACGCCAAGGTGAGCGACAAAATCAAATTTTGAAAATGACAGATTTAGACCAAAATCCAAAATGAACTAGATCCTGTATTTGGAATCTCTGTATGTATTGCACATTAAAATTATTAAATTTGAGAAGTTTATCACTGAACTTTTCCACATCAATTAGTCTCAGATTGTGAATAAATTCACAGTTTTGGAATAAAAAGTTTTGGTATAGAGATGATAGATGACTGCCAAATATGGTCCAGCGATCATGGCAGGTTTTTTTCCAGACCCAATCACAAACTATGCCCAACTTCATTTACCATACCTAGTCTAACAAATGTTAATGTTCAAAACGTACACATTATCATTATTACCCCTGCTTGCTGAACCAATAAAACATTCCTTATCGCAGAGTATACATCTTGATGATGCAGCCAATTCCAGCTGCGAAGGGCTAATTCAAACAAAATATTGACCTATACCCTCACAGGTACCCATATGAATCCTGCGTGGGGAAAAGCAATAGTAGTAAAGTGCCTTGCCCAAGGACGCACGTACCGCAGTCCCTCAGGCTGGACTCGAACCCACAACCTGCCGATCTTGGATTGGATGCTCCAGACCCCGAAGCCACGGCACGCCACCAATCCATTACAGTAATAATTATTACTCTTGATTGGACATTTGGGAGACATCCCCATAGACTTGTGCACAAAATTTTTCAAATTTAAATGTGCCCTACCCAATATTCCCTTGTCCCTTTTCCACGAATTTCGGTTTGTTTACTAATTAGACCACGAGCAACAAATATAAGCTAATTGCGACAATAAAATTGTGCCTCTAAAGGGGGTGTGACATTAGGGAGACATGAAATATGTCCAATGTCTCCCATCGTGCAAAGAAATTACGATAACGTGTCTCCTTAGTGATACCTTTACGTGTAACCTAATGACCATAATTTATAACTTTTCCAAAGAAAAAAGGCACCATATGCAAACATTCCTTCATGGTTTTCCTTCAGAAACTTGCCTATCTCACAGAAGGAGCCAGTAAAGCCATTAATGCAGGTACACTGCGGAGTGACGCCGTCGACGGAGAGTGAACATTGACCGCCATTTTGACATGGGTTAGAGGGAAGGCAGGGATCGACTGAAATGGAATGAATGACAAGAGAGGGAGGAAAAAGGACGTGTGAGAATGTAGGGTATGTGGGGAGTGACTAGTAGGTGGCATGAGGGGGAAAATACGCGAGACTTTCTGGCAAAATGAGACAGAACTGGGCAGGGGTTAAAATGAGGGTTTGTGGTTATTAGGAAAGAGAACAAAATTCTCCTTACAATACTGTTACTTGCACTTCCATTGACAAGTTATGGCTGTTTAAGGTTCGCAGTTATCGACATGTCCAAACAGTACAATACTGAGAAAAAGACCTTTAAAGTTTCTACTGTTTTGTAGTCGTGAAAATAAAAAGATGCTATTTTGTTTCCTTTAAACACTTTTATTCCGTGATTTTTTTATACTATTTCTTTAAAATATGTGTAATAGACATGTTAAAGATTACAAATATCAGTAAATCTAAAAATTGAACAAAATAACCCTTTTTTTCCCCTTCATTTTCTCCACTACGGCCTGTGCCCAGTTTGATCTCATTTTGCCAGAACGCCTCAAATATAGGGATTCAGGTAAATGAAAGGGGGCTCAATTATGTATGATGAGGTACAATTATGGTGGGAAAAGTCGATGCATGAAGACTGAAGTCTTGAACTGCTGGTTCCAATATTTTGCAAAAAAAAATAGGCTAACACAATGAGCAGAGATGTGCATGTAGCTGAGGAACTTGTGAGGGATCACATGGCATCATAAGTCCTCCAGTCACAGGTCAACTCACAAGCTATTTAAATGAACTTTGATAACATCATTCCTTGGTGATTGTTCGTCCTCTGTTACTTCTGATTTCAAGGGCCCATGTTATGTAATTTGTTTAAAAGCAATTATTGAAAATGCACCTTTGTGTCCCATTTAACCGTATTTTCAATTTTCATTTTGCCATTTTTAACTGCATTTTGGCGCTTTTTGGGCCGGTTCTTTTTATGCTAACGTAAATTTCCATATTCATGAGCAAAAGTGTGACGTCATTTCAAGCGGAAACCTCAATGTTACAGCTATTTCAGCACCAAAGTTTTGCAAGAATTTTGGATATTTTGCTGTTGTAAATTTCCTTTTCTTTGGTGATTTGGTGGGTTTTTTTTGTATATAACAGTAACCCAATGAGTACAGTTTTCTCACAAATGTTTTCAGTGAGAAAATTTTGGGTTCACAAATTGAACCCAAAAAACCCTAAAGTGAACAGTGGCTTCCTGAAATGACATCACAGCAACAGCGCCCTCATTTGTCAGGAAAAGTATGGACAATTCTAAATGTTTAGAAAAGTGCACTTATCAATAAAATTAACCAAAAAGGGGTGTCAACGAAAATTCATACATTTATAGGTAGCGTCCATCATTTGTAATGTGTGCATTATGTCCATTTGAAGCAACAAAAGTGCTCAAAATCTAAAGAAGGGAGCTGAACAACTAACCTGATGAAGTTTCAGCTCAGTGAATGCTGTATATTCCGAGAAAACAATGTTCTAGGATCTCGATTTCAAATCAAAAGTTGTCGAATCATGTTTTGAATTGGGCCTGAATTCAGCGTCTGAGACACATTCTCACTGAGCCAATTGCAGCTACGCAATTTCGCGCACTTAATCAACGAATTACAGCAACCGCGCGCGTGCAGGTCGTGTCATCGCTTGCATGCGCTTCGCTGATTTAAAAACAAACTACTAACGGAAATTTCCAACGATGCGTCTTTAGATGCATCATTGGATATGGCCTTTTTTCATTCATTTCTTCAAAATGACAGCATGCCAGGAAGAATAATTTAGTGCCATTACTATCTTTAAAGCAAGTAAAATTTTCAACAAAAAATTAAGTCAGTTACTTTTTGGATGGCTGCAAATGATGGACTGTACCTTTAAGAGGAGTAGAAAGTTGCACAAAATATGTTCCCCAGTAAGATTCATGTCATAGGCCCTTTACCACTAGTGTTTTGTCTCGAGATTTACTTGTGATGGACTTATGATGGACTTATGATGGACTTATGATCCATCACACGCACTTCAACTACAACACTGATGAGTACATGACTTTCTTAAATAAAAAGCAGTTATTCGGAAAAACAGAAGTGACAATTCAGAGATTTCACAGACGACATACCATCTTGACAGAGATCGCCTCGATACCCTGTCGGACAGACACAGGAGAAGCTGTTGCTATCGCTGGAGACACACTGGCCGTTGTTAAAACAGGGTTGCCGCGTACATGGATCGACTAAAATATAAAACAACACAGAAAATGAGATTACTAATAAATATTTTGCTCGCACAATGTCCAGCCAAGTTTTTCTTGACCAACTTCCTTTAACGACACAGAAGAAGTGTTGGCATTCAGAAAATGTTGAGTTTAAAAGTGACAATTTTGAAGAGCAGAATACTATGAACATACCCACACTGCCTTAAGAAATGCACATGAAGGACTCAACCCAGGCAAGCATAAAGAAAGCATTTGATGACACATGCGGAAACGTATCACAAAACCATTATAATCAAGGCACTGTACTAGTATTTTGCCAACCCAACTCAATTTTTTTATAATGCACTGATACAATTTTTTTTTGGGGGGGGGGATAGGTGAAAAAGAGAAGGGGTACTATTTGTTATTCCATGGCAGAACTTTAGCAAACACTTCAGACTTTTTCATTTTTGCAAAACTTGCTTTACAGGATTAGAAGGCTGGATTTGGCCAATGTCAAAAGAGTTACAAATTGATGCTCGATACAAAGAGCGCCCTCAATGAACAATGCACAGAGGGGATAAGGGTGCAGGCCAGTAAATTGCCCCAAAATTGCCCACGCCAGCCAAATCACAATTTGCATGCCCTCAACTTTTTTTTGCTATTAGAGCATTTTGTGGGCCATGAACTTGAGGGTTTGTAAAAGAGAAAAGGGTGGAAGCCGTGCACAGGACTGCTAGCTTGTGTTTCTGTGAAAATTGGATGGACTTGGGCCCCAAAATGTATCTGTTTTTCAATGGAGCGTAGGCATCATTTTTCAAAATGGCAATGGGCTTCAGGACTACTTTTAGGGGTGATCATCATTGGATGGAAATTGCGCCCAAAAGTCATTGGATTACCCCAAAAATTGAACAGAAAATGAAAGATGGTGAAACAAGCTTTAATTTGATATGTGTCTCAAACACCTTGGAGAGTTTTGAGTACTTTCCCTGATTTTCGGAAGTGGGGGTAATCATCACTGATGTCTATGGAAGTTTATTTGCTGGTCTGTGACCATGGGCTCCGTGCACAAGTACCCCTTCAACGGCCAGAAAAGGAGAGTTGGGGGAGACCTAGACTGGTTCCCAGTCCATCCACTGCGTATTTCGAAAGATCTAAAGTTATTGGGGGCAGGGATTAGTCTGGGAGACCATTGCAAATTAAATTTGAACGTATTCGCGCGCTGATGACGCCTGATGCTCACATGAAGACACTGTGGCTAATAGCTTTGGCACATTCAGGAAGTTGTGTATACTTCGTGCGCGAACCAGCACAGTACAGTACGCACACGCTGTGTGTCCTGTCCACACGGCTCTCAAAAGTGGTAAAAACACGCCCTCTTATGTTTGCGCACAGAGCCCATAGGTTGGGGGGGGGGGGTTTGTTTACCTGTCTGACACAGGGGGCCAGAGTAGCCCTGCTGACAGGTGCAATCGAAGCTGGATCCGTCGGAGGCGTGACTGCACTGTCCGCCGTTCCGACAAGGATTGGGGTTGCACAAAACAGCTGTGGATGAAACGTACATCAAAAACAATTGTTAAATATTGAAATATTTATAAATAGCAGCATTCACTGATTGTGACACTTGAAGTCACTTGAACTCAGACGCTTAAAAAAGATGGCAAGAAGAGTTTAATTTGAAACAGTTCGCATTCACAGATGAGCAGCAAAAATATTTTCAGCAGGATTTCTATCGATTGTGTGGGACCTATTTATTTACCTGTTACATAATTAATTAACAAAACTGAGGGCCTAGCATTTTCTTGCCTTTAAAAAGGGTCCTGCAATAACCGAAACGTAAGCCGTGTAATTTTTAAAAAGACATTTTATTTGTTTATTTTCCAAGAGAAAATCCAGTCAGTTAGCAGTTTGCAACAATTTTTTTTCCACTTTTATGTTAAATATTTTAAACATGTTTTATATGAAAATCTTGTTCTTGTTTCTTAAATTTGCAAGTACTATTTCAACGCTTGGTTCAATGACATCACTTGACATGGTTCCCAGCACTTTATGAAAACAAAATTCCCTGAGTTTTTCCTTGATATTTCCCTGTGAAATTTTCAAAATTCCATGAGAAATATGTTCACTTTAACAAGGTTGCAGGGAAGTCAAGAGGTGGTGCAGCACAGCCGATTGTTAGTGTGTGGAGAGGTGTGTAATATTCACACTGCATAAACACTAAAAAGCCACACATTGTGGAATTTGTATCCTTGTGGAGTCATTTCTTTGTTCTCTTGTACTAAAGTTTTCGAGTTTGAAAGTGTACTTCCAAAATGCTCCTATTTCAACCAGAATTAATTTCCTGGGCTGAAATTCTAGCTTAATATCCCTTTAAAATACTTCCATTGGCAGCAGATCAACACACCTTGGAAATTCCTCGTTTATGAGTAAAATCCATATATCTATTTCGTGATAACCTTGTGGAGACGTACTCACCTATAGAAACTGCACTGTGGAGACGAATACAATCTTTTGTTCCCTATTGTGCACATGTCTCCAGAGGGCACGGTGTATCAGATCACCACAGCCAGTCAGTCAACGGACACAAATGGGACACATGGCACAAGACGCACATACGCCAATCTGGCAAAAACCTTTCCCTTCTGGGTCACTATCAAATTCCCTAAATATTCTCTGATTTTTTGGTGTTTTTCTGAAATTCCCCGAGTTTCCCCTGAATGGAAAAATGGAAACCCCTTTTCAAGATTTTCCCTGATTTCCATAGTGGCTGAGAACCCTAATTTGAATTGTCACAATTTCTCAGTTCGGACATTTACAGAGACAGCAATACATACCAACGTTGCAGCGGTCACCCGTCCAGTTAGGCAAGCAATCACAGGCGAATGACGCTCCGTTGGCAGTCACAGAGCACGTCCCAAAGTTGCAAGGGGACGCCAAACATGGACTCACTGAAATCAAATCACAACCCAAAGTAAACTTTAGTCAGGAACAATCCTGTGAATAGAGTAACAAGAAAAACGTTGGGAACAACTCTAATCAACCAAGGTAGAGGGGTCGATCTATAAATTTAGGGTCCAAAGTGTGACCTTTTTCCTGTCCCTGTTACCTTGGTACTTTGTGATTTGCCATTCAACTATCATTCGTAAATACCTAAGACAGTTTACCCATACCCATCAATCGAGAACCTGTCACATGGCCAGTTTTAAACGTTTGATAAAGACCGGCTGGCTGGTCTTAAACACTTTTCCAGTGTCACATGAAATTTGGACTCCTATGAAATCCAGTGCCTTTCAGTTACCGTTTCATTGGTTGCACACTTAGGCATGCGCAGTACTATCAGTCAGTCAGATTTTCATAGTCCTAAATTCACACTACACCGGCACAGCTGCGTTCTGCGCGACATTGCGCTACAATCTCCATATAAGGAGATGTTTACAACATGGACACTACCATAATATAGCTACAGGGGTGTTTCGAAAAACATGAAGTAAAACTGTTGAAAGAAAAATCATTGGAAATCTATACTTTTTGCCTTGTTTTGACTTTTGGACCGAAAAGTTTTTATTTTTTGTTAAGGTATTTATGATGCTGATAATTACCCTCGCCTTCGGATCAGGTAATTATTAGAATCCAGACTTCAACCATTCTTAAACAGAGAGTTTAAAACTGGCCAAGCACACATTTATTCCCTTATTAAAATGATTTCACGCAATTTTTTATCTGTTGGGTTGGGTAGGTAGTTTGCTTGCTATTTTTGGTATATCACTTAGTTTGACATCTTAATATATGTAGATGTAGGTGGAAATGTTGACTTTTCCTATAGAGCGCGCTAGTCTCGCAAAGTCAATGTTCACTTTTTCTGTGATTTCTATTGGGCAGGATTTTTCAAAGTTCAATGTCTCAACAGTAACTATGCCAACTTGTGGCTCATTTTCTTGGGTTGGGTTGCAAGTTGGTTTGGCACAACTCTGGACTGCGAGTCCGAAAAAGGTCAAACAAGCTTTGGTTGATGATTATAAACAAAAAAAAATTGAGAGAAAAAAAGGAAAGTAAAAACTGTGAAACTGCAATACATCTTTCTGCTCTGAAAACCAACTACTTCTTTGTTCGATCTAAAAACAAAAACTTACAGATGTTGCACGTTGTTCCGTAGTAATTAGTGTCACAGTCGCACACAAAGGAGTTACCAAGTTCCCGACACGTGCCATGATCACAAGGATTTTGGAAGCATTGCAATTCTGTTGATAGTCCCAAAACAAAAACAGTATATACTAAAGCAATGACATCATATCTGTTCATACATTTTTCAAAATTTCTCCTGAGGGGTTTTAAGTTTTCATTATGACTAGAGTTGGGCTGGGAAGAAGTAATACATTATTTCGACTGACCAAAAAGCAGCCAAGAAGCCGTTGAGAGAAGACAATAATTTTTTTAATATTTTTAGTGTAAAACTGACGTATATTTTTACAAAAAGTAACACACTTCAGACTCCAAAAAATACACTAAATGACCTAAAATCTGTATCGGATTAGATTACAGAGTCTGATGTTAAACAGAAATGTCCATGTTATTTTCTATTGACTAGACTCTGCCGTAGTTTTCTAATGACTACAACCACCGATCTTTTGACAAAGTCGCTCCTAACTGTCCAAACATCAAACGCTTCATAAACATGTAAATATGTATATCAATTTTGGTAGGTAATCATCCTTACTCGCAGCAGAAGCTGAATTGCAAAGGATGCAGCTACAACATGGTCAAGACGAAGACACATAAAGACACCTTAGGCAGGTGCCATACGACCCATGTCTGACCACGGAGCACAGCCAGAGATCGAAAGTGTTGATTTTTTAGGAGGGAGGAAAACCGGAGAGCTCGGAGAAAAACCCTCGTGGCACAGGAGAGAATCAACGAACAACTCTACTGACATGTGACCGGAGCCGGGAATCAAACCTGGGCCACAGCGGTAAGAAGCGCGCGCTTTACGCACTACGCCACACATCCCACCGTTCATGAGCTTAATTTAAATATTCTGAGCAATTTGGCTCCGGTGCGAGTCCGGAACGCCAGACTGAAACAGGTGACCTTGATTTCCAAACCACTGGTCAGATGATGTTTCTCCATTCTGATACGTACCTTGATCACAGAGTAATCCACCCCATCCCTGGTCACACAGACAAGTGTAACCGGAGACTTGAGGAACGCATGAACCGCGGACACAGTTGTGGTTCTGACAGGCAACGACTACACAGAGAAAACAGGAGCAAAATGGAAACTTAATGTGTAAGGTGCAAGAGAGGGAGAGGGCAGATTTAGATTTAGATGAAGGTTTTACAGGGTGAGCCAAAAAAACAAAACCCAAATGTTGGGACTATTGTTTAAGTGAAATTCTACATGTAGCACTTTTAAAATCTAGGATATGAAAGCTCAATTCATAAGTTTTCTTTTAGTACAAAAATCATTCAAATCACTTGTGTACTTTTCAAGTTACAGAGTTTTTCAACACAACCACCGTTTTAGAGTTCTGTCTACGGATCACATAAAGATAAGTGTTCTTTCAGCAAAACGAAAACAAATCACATAGGGATGTGTGTGAAATGTTTTCGTTTTGCTGAAAGAACGCACACCTTTTTTTGTGATCCGTGGACAGAACTTTAAAATGGGGGTCGTGTTTAAAATTCCGTAATTTAAAAAGTACATGAGTGACCTGAATGCTTTTTGTACTAAAAGAGAGCTTATGAAATGGGCTTTCATATCCTAGATTTTAAAAGTGCTACATACAGAACTGCACTAAAACAATAGTCCGGACAAAAATTTAGGTTTCATTTTCTGGACTCACCCTGTAGAATTCTTTATTGATCCATTCTCGTGGAAATTAAGTACACTGTTTGACAACAGAGTAGCGAACTCTAAGAAGAAAGAGGTCATGTTCCAACCAAGTAAGCTTGCCAAGTTTTGCTCTCAAGCTTTCAAAACAATCCAAATGTGCCTACAGTGCTGCTTACCAATTTCACAGCGGGAACCGGTGTGCGTTGCCGGGCAGTTACAGACAATAAATGGGCTTCCATCAGCGTCTTCAAATCCACAGATGCCGCCATTCAGGCATTCATTGTTGTTGAGGCATGGGTTAGCTGCACAGATAAATTATGAATATTTGTTTGTTTGTTTTTTAAATTTTAATAGCATTTATATTTCCTTGTATTCACCTCTGTGCAAAATGTCACCAGAAATGATTTTGAGAACCAGTTTTCTGTGAAAAAAATAAAATGTAGACGGACAGAATTTATCATTTCATAGCAATGAATAATCAAAAAAACTATCATGACACAAAAACTGATGACATCCTCAGCAAAAAGAACTTTAAACGTCTTGAAACAGAGTTAGAATGCAACCTCATATTTTGTCCATGGAAGTCCATCTATATAAATGAAAGTCCATCTATATAGAGAGACAGGAACCAACTTCAAGACAGTTCACAATTTCTAGCACTGTTAAGTAACTACCTTCATCCTAGAAGACCGGATGCTAGACCAACTAAGAATATATAGAAAAGGACATTTTCCAAACCTTTGTTTTGGCATCATCTCGAATGCCAGAATTATCTTGAAGCATTTACCCAAGAAACTAAAAATATTTGGCCTCACATGCGTCAACCTAATGTACTTGTTGTAGAAAATAGAGTAACGTAGATCCAGAGGCTTAACTTGAAATCGTAAACCTGAAGCCAAATTTGGAATAAAGTCGATGTTTGTGAACACTGAGGTTATATTTCAAGGAAGAAGCACAGTTACAAAGGTTAGTCTCAGAAAACCTCTCTCACTTACGATTCTGACAAGTTGTTCCGATGAACGCTGTCCCTGGGATAACGGTGCAATCACAGGTGAACTGAGCGGAGCCGGGCGTGGGGACACAACGACCGCCATTTTGACAGGGGTTGGTAGCACATCCAGACACTGTCATAGTTGGAACAAAAATTTGATCAGTAGAAGGCAAGAAAATGCTAACAGTATAGGTGTCAATTGGTGGGGGACAGGGGGGACATGTTCCCCCCCCCCCCCACACACTTTTTAAAGTGAAGGGGGGGGATATATACCACTATGTAACGATGAGGCTTCTTTTGGGATGAACACACTTGATGAAAATAATTCTAAGACCATTTTTTTCTGAAAGGACAGAGAATCAATGCTTATTGAAACATCCAACATTTATTTATAATTTAGCCAAAGTGACACGAAAAATGCTGTTCGCTTAATTGAAACCGTAACCGAAAAGGAATGAAAAAATGATCAAACAATTGTCTACTTGCATTCTAAACAATCTCTGTAAAGATGTTTGTTGTACTGCATTACCCCCTGCTCTTCAAACAAAAATATTGTTCTCTCCGAACAACTTTTCAATATGTATGTTTTGCTTTAACGAAAAATCTACTTTATTCAGATTCTGGGCGTCTGCAACCCTCTGAAAATAGGGCTTCTATTTTGGGCACAAATGAACTGCCCAGCGAGAGCTGAATTATCCCCTGGGAGCAAAATATCTAAACATCTGTGGATTTTTTTTTATTCGATGTCTCATTCAAACAAATATATTTTTCGAAGTGAAATGCAAAGAAAACACAGGGAACCATCTTGAAAGAGTTGTGAGATTTTCACCATACCTGGTACATGGCACAACAAACCAGTCCATTCACTTGGGCAGAAACAGGTATAGCCTGCCTGGTTGTTGGCATTATTTATCAAACAGGTGCCGCCATTCTGGCAAGGGGATGCGGTGTCACAAAGGTTCACTGTCAAGAATCAGCAAAAGAAAAAGATTTTAATATTGGGATTTGCCCTTTCTTTGGGTGCGTTCCAGTAGCTCACCTGGATCGACTCGGGTAAAGGCAGACGGGTTAGCCACGACAGCCGGGCTGATCAAACGCTCAACCGCAGGACATCACGATCCTCATGTGACGCCCAAAGCCGTGGCCCAACCCCCTGACAAAATGGTAAAAGGTTGCAAGAGAATACCACAGGCTTGCTTGGGTGGGACTCGAACCCACAACCTCCTGCTTACTAGTACAGACATATAACCACTTGATAGCCGACCTTGCTAGGTTGGCTGGCCGGTTCAAATCTGATACAGTAGTGATTACTGTAATCAATATCTTTACAATGTATTTAAAATTTTGTTTAATGATGGAATTTTACATCAGGGAAACATATTTTAATAGTTGGTTTTGATACCTGATATTCAAAATGTACACCGCGATCTTGAGGCAAAATTCATGAATGAGGTAAATATTTTTAACAACAACTTGATAATTTGGATGGGTTACCAATGTGGTGAACAAGCACACCTTATTGAATTTTTCCTGTGCAAAAGTACCCCCCCCAAAAAAAACCCACCAATACTGAAAGATTGTAACTGTACATTATTCAATCAGTGAACGACATGCATGAGGGTCATCAGTGCACTCAATTGTTTACTCCGTATAGAGGCCATCATCAATTCACAACATTTCATCGCCAAATTCACCAAAAAGGGGCATAAAACAATCTTGTTCCAGCTATCGACGGTCAATTTTACCTAGTGTTTCGCAGTTGGTACCCATCCAGGCTGGGAAACAGGTACACTGGTAACCAGCCTGGTTCCCGACATTCTGTGGTGCACAAGTACCTCCGTTCTGGCACGGAAGAATAGTTGTGCAGAGGTTAACTGAAACAAAAGAAATTATTGCAATCAATTAATACATAGACATGATAGACAATCTCAAATGGAGTAAGTGCACAGTTTAGTACCATCTGAAAAGTGCAACTATGAAACGGTTGTCAAAGTAAGACACTTGTTTCCGGCATGAAGGGGTGATAGTAGTGCTTGAATACCAGTATGGTACATGTAGGTGCACCATTGATCTCCATTAGTAAGACTGGATAGGACAGGCGTATACTTGCGCGCAGTGAAGATTCGGAAAACGCGGACACAAACAGCTGGGTAGTACAGTGTGGGTTTAACGTTTGCGACCGCGCATGCGTGACCTGTGCATGCTGCATGGTCTGTGTGTGATGAACGCATTTCTAACTTTCAAACCCTCACCAATGACTACGCATGCGTGCACAAGATGGAGGGCGCTGTGTCCTATCCAGTCTTACTAATGGAGATCAATGAGGTGCACTCACAAACTGGTTCCTAATCCTCCACTGAAATTTAGAATATCATTGTAGAGACCAGGAACAAGACTGACTTCCATGAGCAAGTTCAAGCGCGAACTATAGTTAACCATAGTTGGGCTAACTTCGCTCGAACGAAGGCTGGTTGGGCTACTCTAGTTGACTAATTGGAACCAGAGCCTGGGGCAGGGTTGCATCACCGGTTACCAATAGCCGCGGGCATCATAAAGCACAGCGGGGAGCCAGGACTCCAGACCATCGTTTGACTAGAGGCGTTTGAAATCGGCTGCAGAACTGGTTTCGAACCCATTTTGTTATTTCTTAAATCTTTCAGCCAGCGACAATTACCTGGTAGGTTGCAGTTTGGACCTGTCCAGGCAGATGGGCAATTACACTGGTAACCAGGCACATTGTTATTCATTGTAGGCACACATCCCCCTCCATTCATACAGGGAGACAAGGTGACGCACAGGTTAACTGAAAAAAAGGACAAATGAAGAATATATTTTTCATTGGGTTTTGCCCTTCTCCGACATATAAGCCCAACATAAAAATGTACATCTCCCTGATGCCAAAATTCCATCGTATAAAAATGAGGAATTAGCCCTCCCCCCAAAAAAAAAATTCACAAAGACAAAACAATCCCTTAATTTTTTCTCTTTGTACCTATCTCACCGACTGACTGACTGACTCTCTAACAGTCACTTGTAAGCAATGCATGTGTTATCAATAATCAGGATTACCCTGTAAGGCATTGCAATGAACAAGTTAAAGATATAGTCCATCATTTGTAATTTGTGCATTTTGTTCGTTTGAAGCAACAAAAGTGTTCAAAATCTAATGAAGGATACTGAGCAACTAACCTGATGAAGTTTCAGCTCAGCTAATTCAGCTGTACATTCCGAGAAAAGCAGCATTCTAAGATCTCAATTTCAAATCAAAAGTTACTGAATCATGTTTTGAATTGTTTTGAATTGCAGCTATACGCGGCGTCGCACACTGATCCGACGAATTATAACAACCGCGCGCGCGTGTGCGGCGTTCCAATACTTGTGCGCGCTGCGCTGAATAACAAAACGAACTACTAATTTAAATTTTCCTACGGTGCTTCTTAAGAATCACCGTTGGAAAGGTCTTCTTTCATTGATTACTTCAAAATGACAGCTTCCCAGAAGGAATAATTTCACAGGGAGTTTAGTTCCCTTACTATCTTTCAACCAAGTTTGTTTTTCAACAGTAATTACGCCAGTTACTTTTCGGATGGCTGCAAATGATGGACTATAGCTTTAAACCCGGCCCATTGTGTAGACTAGATGCATGAACGGACCAAGGGTGGATCCAGAGAGGTTACTGCCAAGGGTAGGGCGGGGGAGGGTATGCTGGGGGAGGGCGGAGGGTATGCTGGGGGAGGGCGGAGGGTATGCTGGGGGAGGGCGGAGGGTATGCTGGGGGAGGGCGGAGGGTATGCTGAGGGAAGAAGGTGCAGAAGTGCTATGAAAACGGTTTAATTTGAGAAAGTTTCAGCCACTACAGGGGGGGGGACCCACACCTCTACACCCCCTGGATCTGCCACTGCAGACTTCCAGTGAAAAGCTATTCTGAATCAACTGAATATGTGATGCAATCAAGCTACATGAGTCATTTGTCGACCCTGGTCAATTTTTTTTTTATACAGATTTGGTAAGAGCACAATCTCAGCATTACTGCTGTGAAAACCGCATGTTGGTACCATCTTTAGTTAAAAAATTATGGAAGTCGGAACACCAAGAGATGTGATGTGTTGATGTGATGAAGTGGTCCTATTTTGGCCTGAATCTCCAAATGAAAATTCCTGACAAAGGACTCATGTAGCGTGTGCACTTTGGGACCAGCTTTACAAGGCCTGCCGTTTCTTGCCAGGGGGCTCGTGTGGGGTCTGGAGGGGCACAATGTGACATTATTATTTCACAGCCAGAAGCTTTTTTGTAAAACCTATCCAACAGTCCATTCCTAAACCAACAAAACTCAAATAACAAATGTCGCCATTTGCAGGGGACTTACCCGCTACTTCGCAGGTGAGACCACTCCATGCAGATGTGCAGACGCAAATGTAATCGGGTTGATTATTGTTGTTGGTGACAGACACGCAGGTGGCGCCATTTCTGCAAGGGTTGGTGCTGCTGCACAGGTTCACTGATGATAAAAAAGATACATTATCAATAAGATTATTAATCCTGTAGAGGGATGTTATTGTTATAAACATTTTTGGAGGAAAACTTTGGGGGTATTGAACTCACTATAGACTGTTTCACACTATCGTTTCCCTACCCGTGTAGAAATCAACGCGGTTCCACCATCAGCAAAACCAGGTCCCATTGAACAAAGTAGGCTAGCCGTACCGGTGACATTGTTTCAAAATTTTGCAACCCCTTCAAAAGTTTGTCACTCAAACGGCTATAAAAAGGAGCCTTTTGACTACAATTTATAATACAACTATTGAAAATCTTGTAAACAACTGTTAAAAATCACTCCACAAGCGAAATAACATGTATATAAGTTAGTGACAAGTCATGTGTGGCAATTTTCATTGGCAAATTGAAAGGCATCTAAATGTACGTTAAGAAAAAAAGGAACCCTTAACTATGATGAACCATGGATGAACAAAGTACATTTTCCCAACATCGATGGAAGTTCCCAGGATATTTACATGGGATTAACATTTGTACATTGTTTTCATCTTGGGTTTGCCTGCCGCAAGTTGCTTGTATATTGACCCAAGTGAAACAACGCTTAAAACTCATGAAATGACGACAGTGAGAGAGGCAACGATGAGTTTTTATCACTCCTGACAACTCCTCCAATCGTGGGTTTTGACTTTCCGTGATTAAATCGTCTCTGTAATTTGAAGACAAAGCCGTGATGGTCCACGCCGAAGGTCTTGAAGCAAGTCATGGAGTCCAGGTGTAGAAGGCCTTTCCAGTGACGTGTCCAACATTAGTATTGAGATACATGTAGGAGCCTGCTGATTGCTGATATAGCATTCCACCTCAGCTAGTGTTGACATTTTCTTATTTAAACACCCTACCAAGTAAATTTACGCCATACTTATTTACAGACAACATTTTGTGATGTAACATCTTGATGTCACATTTTCACACAGGCACTGGCAAATATTTCACCTTCCTACTCCGCTAAACGCAGAATCCACTATGCAGCAGTTAATTGTTTTTATGAATGCTAACTTCGCAACGACCTGTATGCCTTAAAAAGTTGGGGAGATGTTTCACAGTAATTGGGGAAAAAACACATATGCGACCTATTGACAGATAGCTTCTGCAAATCCCACCTAATCACATTTTAAAATGCAAAATTGAATTACGCAATGTTGCAGTTGTGTCCATCACAGTCATCACAAGTGATCACAAGTGATCACAAGTAATCACAAGTAATCAGAAGCAATCACAAGCAATCACAAGTCATCACAAGTCATCACAAGTCATCACAAGTCATCACAAGTCATCACAAGTCATCACAAGTAATCACAAGCCATCACAAGCCATCAAAAGTCATCACAAGTCATCACAAGTCATCATAAGTCATCACAAGTCATCCAGTCCCGAATCACCTTACAAGCTTTTAAATGAATTTGTCACTGTCCCCACAAAGTGACACTAACATCGAAAAATCAATATTTTGCGATTTTGATTTTTCCCCCTAATTGGTGATTAATTATACATATTCTATCTTCTCAAGAAATTACTATACAAAGAGTTAATTAGTTTTGTCCAAATATTAATTAACATTTATTAACATTTCTAACTTAATGGGTCAAAACCGGAAAATGTGTTTTCACAAGGTGTACTATACCATTCTTTCACGTGTAAACTGCCTGCACACTATGCTTCAAAAACGGGTTTTGCGTTTTCACGAAGTAACACAAATGTCACATGATATACTTCTGGCATTTTCACGAAGTGACGCTAAGCCCATAGCTAATACACACGGGTAGCGTCACTTCGTGAAAACTCAAACACAGAGTTAAGTAAGATTTGAGGCTTTGCATGGTGGAGATACTAAATAATGAAAGGTTTGCGGAAACACCATGTGCGAATAATTTCTCAACTAAGAGAATGGTTCTGAAAAGAACCAGAGGTATAAACTCGACGTTCCGGTCAGTATGCTCTGACCGTCTTCAGGAGAAGATAAAATAATTTAAGTTTAATAAAAACACAGAGTTATCTGATTTTTTAGTTTTCACGAAGTGTACTTATGATTAATTAGTTTGATAACTCATTAAAAGTCATATTGTTTAATAAAAACTCATACATTAATGTGTCATTTAAGATCCCAGCTTTCAGACAGTGCAACAAAATATGAATTTTGAGGCTAAAGCGATATTCAGATATCCGTTTCAAAACATTGCCAACTTAAATCACTGGACTCGAAACACACATTTTCCACTTTGCAGGGGTTAAGGTCACTTCGTGGTGACGGTGGCGAATTCTGACTGTTACATGTGACCGGACTGGTAACTTGACTTCTTGTATAAACTAAACTTTTGACAGACTAGACTGCAACACTGGATGCAACATGAAACAGTTAGTCTTTCCTAATTGGTTTTATCAGACACTTGATATCACGTACAACTTTACTCTGACTTTGTGAGAGACTTTTTATTTCTATCTGAGACAAACCTGGCTGATCGCAGTTGGTGCCAGTGAATGTAGAAGGGCAAAGGCATTGATAGACCAGCAGACCGGTCGAGGAACGTAGCGATTGGCACGTACCACCATTCCTACACGGATTACTCCCACAGGGGTTGACTGGCAGAATGACAAAAAACGGTTTGTCAACATGGTTGATATATACAAATTAAAATACAGGGTGATTAAAAAAAAAAACACCAAATGTCGAGACTATTGTTTTATTGACGTTTTGCATGCAGCACCTTCAAAATATAGGACATGAAAGCCCAATTCACAAGATTTCTTTTAGTACAATAATCTTACAAATCACTCATGTACTTTTCAAGTTACGGAATTTTAAACACAACCACTGTTTTAAAGTGCTGTCCACGGATCACAAAAAAGGTGTGCATTCTTTTAGCAAAACGAAAACAATTCACACACATCCCTCTGCGATTTGTTTTCGTTTTGCTGAAAGAATACTGACATTTTTTGCGATCCGTGGACAAAACCTTAAAATGGTGGTTGTGTTTAAAATTCTGTAACTTGAAAAGTACGTAAGTGATTTGAATGATTCATGTACTTAAAGAAAGCTTATGAATTTGGCTTTTATATCCTATATTTTGAAAGTGCTGCATGCAGAACTTCACTAAAACAATGGTCCAAACATTTGGGTTTCGTTTTTTTTTTACTCACCCTGTATTATTGCGGAGCGTATGTTTTGCTGGCTAGTGTTAGCTGTATCACAATCTTGTCACATTTACCCAGACAAAACCAACTTTTTAGCACAAATACAATACTAATGGGAAACAGCAACACACACAAATTGTTAGCTAAAGCTTACTTAGATATCTGTAAATGCTAAATTTGTCATTAAAAGGAATGCAAAGTTGGACTAAATTTTAGCCCTTTTTGGTGCAAACAAATTGCCATCATTTTTTCTTTACATCCACAAACCTGTTCACAACCAACCATACATTTTTTTAATAAATTCATTTAAAATTTCAAATCTTACTAAATATAACCACAATATCATGGATTTAAGCAAGCAACTATATTATCCTTTAAGCAGATTACATTGCCTCAGACAGCAAAGCGACAATGTCATTTAAAATTGTCCAGATTGTTGCTTATTCTTGTGAGTTTTTTTTAAATTGTTGAAAAAGCAATGAAGATGATATATATCAAAAATACGATATAGATACGGGCAAAGTTTGACTCAAAAATGTAAAATTTAGGTGGTTGTTATGACTCAAAACACTTTTCACCCAAGATCTTTTACATCTCACATTAACACCCGTTCGTCCCAATTGATCATTCCATTAGGCCCCGCCTCCTGATGTTTTGACCAATCACAGCCCTGATTTTGGCAACAAAATATGTATGACACACCCAGATGAACATGCAGAGTGACATTTGGAAGGTGAAGTGGGCGGGGCTTAAAGTAGGCGGGCCTAAAGTGGGCGGGGCTTAAAAGGTCTATACAAACAATATCACTTTACAGAAAACATCAACTTTTTTTACACTGAACATAACAGCAAAAAGCACCCACAAAAAAAACTTTTTGACTTTCACATTGTACCAATGGTATGGATGACAAGCAGGGGGCATTGAAAATGGTATCTATAAAAAGGGATTCCCAAAAATTTTCATCACTTTGATAAGCTTTAAAAAAAAAAAAAAAAAAACACCTGATTTTTAACATAATTATATTTAAAATTACTGGTGCAACAATGTGTTAATTAAGATGATCACTACATTCTTGATGTTTAATGAGAAATCAAATGAAAGTTGTAAGTGGTTCACAGCCCCATAGGATTGTGCACAAATTGCCTGGTTTGTTTGTCATTCATACCCAAGATGCATTATCAAATATCGAAAAGGAGCAAACAAATGAGCAACTAACTGAACAAGTTGACAAATATTTGCAGAAATTAAAAAGTAGACTGATTTTACAAATACGCACAAAATACTTGGAGGTGAAGCATGTGCAAAAACATGCAACTACTTATTTTAGTTTGGTCACTGCATAGACTTTGGAGATAATCAAACAAAAAGCTTATTCTTTGGGCGTTGTTTTAAAACATTTACTTTTTCAAACATTTTTTATAACTTACATTTAACAAGTATAACCAATCACATTCAAACACATTCCCGCAAAAGCATTACACATATTAGCACATGTACACAAAAATTACGTATTTCAGTTGCTTTTGATAGAAAACAAACCTTCTATTTGACAGTTGGTGCCCGTATGTGTTGTAGGGCATGTACATTGATAATTCAGAGTACCGGTGGCAGAATGGAATTGACTACATCCGCCCCCGTTTACACAGGGATTGCTGCTACACGGGTCGACTAGAAGGAGAAAAAATTAAGGATTAAACCAAAAATTGGAACTTATAACTCTTACACATCTTGGAAGATACTCCCTCTTGCTCAGGGTGGCAGCATCGACTCTATCTGGAGTATCATGACTAATTATACAGGGTGGTGCTAAAGAAGGGAACCCACTTTTGACAGGAATTTTAACCTACTTACTTAACTTATGTGAACTGTTTTATTTTTATAACGTAGTGAAGTATAGCTCTTCAACCATACGTGGTGAAAAAAAATATTTTCAAAAATCGCAGGGACAGTGTTATTAATGACACTAGCTAATTTGAAAACAAGTCACCAAAATCACTGAACATTGTCCAAGTATTCCTCTAGTGTAGTGTTTTTTGTCTTCAAATCAAGCTTTGGAGCTCAGTCAATCGGATGGAATTAAGCCGTCCGTGGACAAACATGTTTGGCACGTGAAATTTTTTAACTTCCATATCTCGGAGACAAAATATGCATTTTGCAATTATTTTTTCATCACTTACGTTTAAAAATCAAGATTTTAATACCATTGAATTAAATTTTTGAAATATGCTCGACAAGTAGGTGAAAATTGCTGTCAAAAGTGGGTTTCCTTCTTTTAGCACCAACCTGTAGGTTGACAACCTCTATCACTTGTAAGGCTTATCATCATGGAATTTGAGACCGCACCAAAAGAGATGAAAGTTAGATTGAAACAAAATCATGACCATCTCTCATTCTTCACTTCCTAATTGTCCACCCCCCCCCCCCAAAAAAAATCTTTCCCAAACCGTTCTCCAACTGTCTAAAGTACATAGCAGAAATCATATTCAGGTTCAATACCCTTCAACAACATGAATTTTTTTAAAATAGCTATTCACTGTACTCAGTGATAGCCAGTCTTCATGGGTTACTTCAACGTAGGGAGAAAACCTACATGTAATACTTTCATCTCCTTGATGCAAAAATTCCATCGTCCGACATAATGTATCCGCTTATTTTCAATCAACATAAATCCACTGCTAGTTTTCCCACATGAGTCAAGCTTAGTCAGTATATGTCAAATACCATAGCATTGTACAATAAATTTGATTAAAAACCTTGCCTCTGAGCATTTTTGGTAGAAACCTTCCCAAATCCACCAAAATCTAACACACTGCAGTGACCCTTCTTTGCATTTTGACAAAATTTGAACATGAAGTTTAAATCTGTGTTAAAGGGAATATACATCATTAGCTTTTGCTGTAATTTTCAGAAATGGATGGAATTGGGGGGTTGGAAATATATAGCAAATATAGTTACCGTACACTATATTTTTTGAGGTTTTGGGTTCGAAAATGCTATAAAAACTAAGAAAAACAATCAGTTTCCTGTAGTCTGGTTCCCTGACTCCATTTAAGAAGAAACATAGCAGTTTACATAGATCGGCGAATTGTAAGGTCAGGGAACCAGTCTAGCTGGCTTGTACCCGTTCATAGGTGTGTAATCGATTGCAAACAAGTGCAATGGTCAACTGGGGCCAGTATTTGAAAAAAAAGCCAGTTTTTTCCAACGCTGGTCGGCCGATCAGCGTTGGAAATTGATACAAAAATACCACTTTTCTTGAAATTGACAGTATACCAGGTGCCATGATTTTATAGGAGGCTTTACACTGTCATTCACTAACAGTCCAGCAAGGTATTTCAAAACGATTTGGTAGTTTTATTTTTTGATGTTTGCAAATGTTGTATTTTCCCTTTAAGTGCCAGAATTTTACAGCTTGAAGCAATCAAAATCCATCAAACTCAGCTGTTAGATTTTGGTGGATTTGGAAGGGTTAGTAAGTAAATTACACTATTAACAATGTTTCATTTTTAAAGGTCAGCCACAATCAAAACAGGATTAGTATACCGCATGGCTTGCATTTACAACAAATGTATATATAAAAAAATTCATATTTTAAGCTTCTACCAAAATAAAAATTTACGTTTTAAGCTTCTACCAAAATAAACACCTTTAATTATCCACTATCCACTATACATGTATATATATATTCCATAGTACAAAGACATCACTAATTTTCCCCTGCAGTGACCTATCAGCCATCAGTAAGCGATAACATGTCCTAAAAAGTCAAATTTAGCAGGGAAAATATTGAAGCATTTACTGTGAAAATACTTAGAATTTTTCAGACCAGTCTCATTGGGTTTGTGCACAGGGTGTCAAGTGATGTCCAGGTATGGAACTCTTTCCATGATCTTAAATGGATATGAAAAAATCCGTGTAAAATCAAGTTCCCATGGGAAAAAAAGTTTTTAAAATGTGAAATTTAGGAGCAACAAGATTTCTCTTGTTGGAAAGGGAACTTGTAACTTCAATGAACAACTTTGTTAGGAAAAAAAACGTCTAGCAAAGCGTCTAGCAAACTGTTTGCATTTTTAACCGGTTACCGGCCAAACGTCATGCAATCTGTATTGCTTTGGACTGGTTCTCTGTTAGTTCATGCTTAGCACATAAACAAAGCAATGTTTTCTGCTTACCAACTCCACACAATTGGACCATAAAACAGTCAGATGCCCGTCGACTTAAAGTCGCTGTCACTTAGTCTAACTATTTTTGAAACTCCACATTTCTTTTGCAAATTTGCTGCAGTATGACAATGTTAACTTTAAACACCAAAATGATGAGTCCGTAAGCTGGTTTGGAAACATTTTGATGCCCGAAGTATCAGAACTGAAACATAACGACATCACGCTTTTATTTTACTTGTGCGCATTCTTTACAGAACCACCTGAAGACAAGAGTCACAAAGCTCCATGTGACATGCGACAAAATTGCGCGCTTTTACAAATATGCACACAAAAATGAGTGTTAAGACGCACGACTCTGTCGCATTAATGTGAACGTGCTCATTGATTGTGTGTAACTTTAAAATATGCGAAATTTTGTCGCACCATATGTGAAAAATGGCTTTTTAAGAAGGTACGCTAGTAAACAAAGTGGGACGTCATTAAATCTCAGGTCTGTTGTATAAAGCTGCAAAAGTACAAACACAAACCAGAATATCCTGTTTAATATTTACAATACCGTAGCAGCAAAAGCGCCAACCTTCCACCTCTTTCATATCGGTAATAATACCTTCATTTTCACAGTTGATTCCAGTAAACGTTGGTGGGCATGCACACTGATAGTACAGAAAGCCAGCAGCATTGCGTAACTGTTGACAATTGCCCCCATTGCGACAGGGGTTACTGGTACATGGGTCGACTAGAAGAAGAAATAACATCTGTTCATTAACATGTTTCTAGGTATTAGTTTACAGAGTAACAGGTGTGTCTAAGTTGTTGTAAGCTGATGGGAGTCTTTTAAGATGCATGGTGGCAGTACACACACCGGTCCTTTTCAACACGGCAGTTCGGTATTTCAACTGGGCATGTACGCAATGATCCGGTATACGGGTCATTTGGGATAATTGAACACTCATCGAAGGCGAATGAACACGCAAGGAGACAGTCACATGACGATCGCGGGTTAATTACAGGAAGAATGGGCGTTTGCCCAACATCACGATTACAAGACACTTGACGCTTATCCCGAATGACCTTTTGCGGGGCCTAGTTCATCGAGATACCGAACTGGCTTATTGCTTACCGGTACATCATGTTTAAGATAATGTGCGCAGATTAAAAATGACGTAAATGATCTAAAAAGGGTGTGTTTGCTGCCACCAAGTGTCTCAAAAATGCCAGAATATACTTCACGGAGACAAAGACAAAGCGAATTCCACATCACAAAAACTCTTGCAGCAAAAATTTCTTGATTAAAAAATGTGTTCAATTTTTGCAAATTTTCAACACAAAGCACTGCTATAAATTCACTCACAAATATTGTTTTTTTCGCCAAGCATGAGCCAGCCTTAAAGTTGTGCTCCCTGTGCTCTTAAACACACTTTTTTTCGATTCATAAATTGCAAACTTTTGTTTTGTTCTAACCAAAAACCTCCTTTTTTCCTTTTTTTAGATGTCTGAAACCCTCTGAAATAAAAAAGGTTTTTTTTTCTGGGCACAAATAGATCCACTTTTTTATGCTTACAGTGTGGCGGGAACCAGCCTACCCAGCGAGAACAAATTATTGTCTTGCAGCCAAAAATTCGATATCGTAAAGTAGTAATGCAATAATTATACATGGGCCGATTTTTTTTTCGGTCAATGTCTCATTCAAAAGCGAATTACTTTTGTAGTGCTTGAAAAATAGCAATTTACAAAATGAATCTATATTTCCGGATAAAAAACTCAAAAAAAATACCAAGGGGGATGCACATACAGCTTTAAAACATGATTTGAAAGTCTTTAACTCTAACATGTCATTCCAATGGAATTTTTGCAAATAAAACATAACTTTAACATCCTGACTCCATCAATAGATTATTTGCATTCAGAAACCATCTTTGAGGATTTTCGGAGGGGGGGGGGGTTGATTATTTCAATTCACTAATTCATGAATGCACAAGAGATAGATACACATGTGTTTCTCTGTGGAATGAAAGCCCGTGCCTCAAAGATGGCTCATATGCAAAGAATCTATAGACATGTTATCATGGAGTTTGATGGATTCAAGATAGTTCGGTTAGACATAAAATAAGCATTTATAACAAAAACTCCATTTTTTTAAAAATCTTTGTTTTCAAGGAAACAAATGGAATATCTTGTGTTAATAAACAACTAAACGGAGCCCATATTTAGTTTGATTAACTAAACAAACAAAAAGGACGGACACTCATCTACTATGTATGCAAGGCAAAAAAATGTATATCTACGTGCATATGTACATTAAATTATAAAATTATATGCTCCACTTTAAGTTTTGTTAAAGTAAAAAGTTAATCACAATAGACCTAAGACACAAGGACGTCACGCTTTGTCTACATGTGTGCTTTCCTATGGGAGCTATATGGGGATGAGGTCCACCATGTAAACAAAGTGTGACATCCTTATGTCTTAGGTTTATTTCAATTCTCAAATAATTAGCACAATCACAAGCTCTATACAAAAACCACTAGCAAAAAAGCTTTCGACAATTCAATATTTTTGGACTTGGAGTGTTCCATAATCCAAATAACACAAATAAAAATTATTTTTCAGACACCAAGCTATATTGTTTTAATCCATAAAAAGTCTGACAAAAACAGAGGTTGGATTTTGTCAGATTTTGATGGATTAAGGTGAACGATTCAAAACTAACACAACGCATTATGTTTAAAGACTACAACAGGAAAACTTTGTTAACGTTCTCTTTCTAATTTTTAGAATTAGAGCTTCAACAAAGCATTTTTTAAATGCAGAACAACTGTAAAATACAAACATCAAAAATGCAACATACAGGCAAACACAGGTTTTAGAGGCAAAGCTATATCATCCTTTCGTTCCCGATTCTCAACAAACCTTCAAATTCACAGTTGGTTCCTGTATGAGTTGAAGGGCATGTGCACTGATAGTACAGAGTACCAGTGACAGAACGGAATGGACCACAATTGCCCCCATTTATACAGGGACTGCTGCTACACGGGTTGACTAAAAGAAGAAATTACAACGACAGTAGAGAAAATTTATAATATATGAACCAGAGCCAACTTTCTAAGGGCTGTTCGGAGGGAAGAATCGAGGGCAAAAGGCCCAGAGGTTGCCCTCCAAAAAGATGTACAGGCTGCATTAAAAGTGACACCCAGCTTAGAAACATTGAGTCACTAGCAGTAGCAGCAAGGCTTTACTGAAGATTGTGTGAAATCGAGGAAAGTCATCATGCAGAAGCCATCACGAGGTGACTAATGTCACTGGCGTGGTAGACATTAAGTAAGTAAGTAAGTAAGGATAGATACAAGCACGTAAACAGCTTAAGTTGAGCACAAATACAACTGAGTGCACTTATCTTTCATTGCCTTTCTTTTGTCACGTATATCATAAAACAAATGATTATTAATACAAAAACAACAGATAAAACAAAGCACTTTGAACCAAAAATTACCCCCCAAAAATATATTTCCTCTTGAACTCCTGATGCAAATTTGTAAATACCCCAATATTACTGTTTGTATTCATATTTGTAAAAAAAAAAAATTGGGAGGGGGGGGGACATTTAATCCACAACGTGATTTGCTAGAACCTTTTTTTTAAAAGGCTTGTTTTCAAGAATAAGCTTGACCATAACTGTGTACAGCAAGTTGTAAAGCATGTTATGAGTGCTTAAATGGCAATTACCCTTTGGATCTGGGCTAATCAGCTCTATCAATTAAGTATGTCGTCAGCAGCAAAAATACAAAACATTTCTGTTATTAATGGCCACTTCTGACAGTATCAAGATGTAAAAATAGCTTCGCATTCGCATTCGCAGTCGCATTCGCATTCGCATTCGCAGTCGCAGTCGCGTGAATTATGAACCGGCCTTAAAGGCTGCAGAGGACTTCATCCCTTTAAAGCACAACCCGTAGAGGGCAGCCTTGCTAAACAGAAACCATTCCAGGACACACTCATTTCACTTGTCATCATGAAGGACAAACTGTCACCTACCTTCAGTGAGACAGTTAGGTCCAGAGTGTGTCGACGGGCAGGTGCACTGATAGAAGAGAAGATTGCCTCCGTTACGCAGTGACATGCAGGTGCCTCCGTTACTACACGGACTACTGTTACATGGGTTATCTGAGATCGAAACAGACATTCAAATTCAGCTTTATTATAAGTTACGTGAAAATCTTGTACATCAAATGAATTCAACCAATTGAAATACAGAAACGTCGCTGCTGTTGATGCGATGGCCTTGTCTGAACGTATTGTACGTCAGCTTATTCCAACGTAGTTGAAACCATCCCAGACTAGTTCTCAACTAGAGATTTTGGATGCGGCAATATTCTCATTACCCACAGTCAATCTGGGAACAAGTTTATATCAGTTTATAGACATTGCCTGGTGTTTTTCTCAGTGCTCAAAGGTATCAAGAACTCGACAGTTTTTATAGTTATTGATACTGTTCAGTTTAATGTTTTTGTCAGTGAATGGCGATGGTTTTCATACACCTTGACAAATACTGTGTCAATATAACCTAGTCAATCACACAGTGCCTACTACCGGTTTGTATTAAATTCAATGACACACTTTCTTTTAAAAAAAATGTGAGGTCTGCTTGCTGAGTGTCAAACAACCGTTTTCAGTTTAAAGTTTTTGGAAACATGAAACAGTATCGGTATCGCTAGGGAAACCAATGTGATGCTTTGCGCACTGCACTACCCATGTCACCGAGAAACCTCAGAAAATCATTTTACCTTCCTGCTGACATTCCAGACCGCTGAAACCCGAGAGGCACATGCAGGTGTAGTACAGATCCCCAGTAGAAGTGATGCGTTCATTACAAGTACCTCCGTTCTGACAAGGGGTACTTCCACAAGGAGAATCTGTAGGGGGTCAGATATTATTGGGATGATAATAATAATTTGGGAGGATAATCATCCTTACTTGCAGCTGAGAAGCTGAATTGCGAAGGACGCAGCTACAACGTGGTCTAGCCGAAGGCATATAAAGGCACCTATGGCAGCCAGCCACATTGACCCACACATGACCACAGAGCACAGCCAGAGATGACACTTTTGTTATATTTTGCTTTGAGACTTTGAATAGTTCAATATTACAACATTATCTCTATGAAAACACTCCAAAAGGCTTCTTTGAGACTTTGAGTAGTTAAATATTACATTATCTCTATAAAAACACTCGAAAATGTATACGCATTTCGAAACCTGACTGTATAATGAACCCCTTCTCAAAAATACGTCAATTGAGGGCGCACTAACCAGCTAGCGGGCAGAGCCGTATATAGAGAGAGTTACGACATGAGGGTCCCACTGTTTGGAACCAAAATGGCGGATTATGCATCAGTGCACATATATAATTCGAACACAATAGTCGCACGCTGCACTGTACACTTAATGAACGGCCATTATGGTTCAACAGTCTCAAGTTGTCGCAACTCTCTCTACCGCTCTATTAACAGGTGCCGAGTGAATTCCTGCATCCTGCTAGTGTCTTGAAAGGGATTAAGGGGCAGGGTGTACATTGGGAAGATGGGGGGAGTCAAGCTTTAAACTCACATTGGGAGCAGTCAGCACCGATCCAGCTGCCCAGACATCTACAATTGAAACCCGCCAATCCATTATCAATGCATAGTCCTCCATTCATGCAAGGGTTGGTGGGCTGGCAGGCTGACTGGTCGGCTGAAAGATAAATATCAAAAAGATGAAAGTAAGTTAACGGATTCCCTTTGGGTCAAGTAGCGGGAATCGTCCCACACTTTCAGATCTTGCACTCAAAATAGCTCAGGATGCATGGGCCAAAACAAGGTTTTGTGCCAATCTGGATAAGAACTGCTCTTTATATAATCATATGCAGTGGCTATTGTTACGGCAGTCAACTGCCTGGTTCCCTGACCTAATAGTATTCAACGTCAGGATCGTTGGCTGTTGGAACCAGACTACTATCAACCCAAATGGTTCTCGGCCTTTATTTCCCGTTTAAAAAAAATCCTCCAAAAAGCCACTTATTACAAACAAAATTTACTTAAATAAAAAGAATGATTTGATTAAAAACATAAAAGTAAAGAAAACTATTAAAACAAAAACATAGAAACTGCGTAGCGCACATTTGATCCCGGAATTTTTGGCATAGTAGTTGAACGTTTAACCAATTGCGCTACCGAATGCACTCTGGTTGGATGGGCAGTTTTAACTATATGATATATATTCGCAACGGTGTTTTTGCAATACCGGAACGATAGCAGTTGAAAATTGCATTACGGCTGCCGTAAGGATAGCCACTACAATAATAATAATAATAATAATACATGTATATATATTCAAGCTAATGCAAGTACGTGAGGTATGGTGGGAATTCGTGTCAGGTCCAAGTACAAAGTTTCCAATATTGGATGTTGTGCATCTTGTTATAACCAGTTTGCGACAGATGATGTGTATGCACACAAAGGTTTTGCAGTATACGGAACGGATGACGGATAAAAACGCAGGGAGCGAGGCCGGAAATATCTGTCAGCGATCTGCCCGCAGCAAGCGAGGCCCGAAATATGAGTGTGCTGCCCGAGGGTGATGGCTTCAACCCGCCTGGCTTGAGGTCGAGTGAAAAGTAATCTGGCGTCTCGTTCCGTTCTTGTCAAAATAATCCCGGCGTGAACTGGTTCAGAAACTCTCTACAATCGAAGCGGCTGGAGTACACTTCTAAGTGACTGGCTGCATTAGTGGAACAATATCCACATCCTGTCTGGGACCAAGCCTTCCTGAGCCGTTACCCAATAAAGTCAAACATCAGTGAAACTCACCAGGGATGTTGCAGTAAACACCGGTCCACTGACTGGTGCATACACAGGAGTACGGGTCGGAATCAAACGGAATGGAAACACACATTGCGCCGTTTTCACACAGATGAGACGAACAGCTGGTATCTGTGGAAACAAATAGAACATGTTATTATTTCAGGTAGGGAAACCAAGGATATCTCATCATCGCCCTAGGCACTGTGGCTCGCAAGCCTGAAGACACCTGTGGAGAGAAGACAATAAGAAGAAATTGACAGTTTTTGAGGTGGGAGGAAAACCCCAGTAGAATATTCCGGGGAATTAGGTCGGTGGGGGGAAGAAAACCCAATCCACATGTGGACCAATACACATGCGATTTAGTGGAGCTTTTGTGAGTTGTCAAATAACCCAAAATTTAAAGAAAAACTGAGGAATTGCTCTCAAGAATTTCCTCAAAGAACATGTTTTTTTTTCTTTTCTTTTTGTTGTTACTAGTCCCTCGTGTCCACTAAGAAAGATTTCACATGAAACAAGGCAGGACAGACTTCATTAAAAGTTTGTTCCTTGGCAGTGAGGCTGGGAAAGCAAGCTGATTCATCAACCGAGAACAAAAAGGAGAAGAATTGCATGGAAGAAGAGGTTAAAAAATGTACATTATAAAGAACTGAAGTCAAGCTAGTTTCTAACTTCGTACAGGTTCTGGAAAATTTGTTTCAAATAAGAAAACGAATTTGATAAACGGAAATCAAACAAAAATAATAAATTTGATATGCAACATTGAGAAAACATTCAATTCCACTTTTGCCTTAACAAGCAATACAGATGAGGCAAACCAAAAACACATTTGTTAAATTTCCAGTTTTGATCAATGAGAAAAACTTAAAAAACAAATCTTATTTTCGACGTCACGGCACAAACCTTGAATGTTGCAGTTGGCTCCTGTGATACCGGCAGGACACATGCACTCGTAGATAGTCTGCCCCTGGACCGTCAGTCTCTTCTGGCATGTTCCCCCGTTCAAACAAGGGTTGCTGGAGCACGGATCAACTGTCCGACAAATAATGAAAAAAAAAAATTTGCACGGGAAACAAGGCTTCTGGAGATGTGAAAGAATTACAAGAGCTAAGATGGCGCTAGCAGACTGTTGCTTCGTGGGAACAAAAATTGTGATGACCCTGATTGTTACCATGGCAATCATGGCATCACAGAGACTGGTATCTGTTACGGTACAGTCTACGTAAGACTCAACGCTGGTTCGTACTTCACGCGAATTTCAGTGCAAAGCGAATTCTTCAGGGTAGCAGCAAACGTCACAATGAAACTTCAATTGATGACGTCACGAAAATCGATTCACTTTCCCTTTCACATTTCATGATTCAGGCGCCCTCGGAAGGTTTATGGAGAAGTCATTATCACCGTACATTGTGGGAACTAGTCGACTAACTAGGCATCAAGTGGTTTTCCTTTTGAACAAGGGAAGGACAGTTTTCATGGATAAGTTGTGAATTACATCAAGTTTAAGTACAAAAGTTGGCATATTCTGGCAAATACTTGTTTGGACACTGCTTTGTGAATCTTCTACTTGCTTTTCTTGGAATGTAAGTACATACAGTTGAAGTACATGATCTTGTTGGCCTGACAACACGACACACCTTCAAGGTTTGTATGCTACATTTCCTCCTGAGCAGGAAAATGCCTTGTGTTTTAGGTCTTGGGTTGAGCAAGTTTCTAAACTGAATTCGCAGGAGACCAATGATTCATTATGACTTTACAAGAAGGTAAAGAATACTGCAAGTAAAACTTGCGCGACCCCCCTGGCATGCTGGCAGTATTTATAAAGTCAGTGTACCTAACCAAAATCAACAATGACCTCGTTTGACCCCTAGATGACCTGTGACCTCAAATGTCACAAATCATCTTAAGTCCCCTACCCAAAGATTATTGTCGCCAAGTTTGGTTGAGATTGAAGTCTGACTTTTCATATGACGGCACTAAACAGTTAACCTAACAAAATGGAACACACGGACGGACGGACACACAGACACAATACACTATTGCAATATCCCCCTTTCTTGGCTTAAAAGCCAGGGAGATAAAAACGGGTGTTCAGGACTCACGGTCATTGCAGTCAGGGCCACCCCAGTCAGGGGTGCAAGTACACTGGTAGCCCGCCGATCCAAAATCCTGGCAAGTGCCGCCATTTTGGCAAGGGTTGGGATTAAGGCAAGCTGCTTCGTTAACTGGGGGGACAATTACAACCAATTAGATCATGACCTGGTAGAAAACTTGTAAGTAATTAAATCGCACTGAACTGCTGATTATTAATAAGCTTTAAAAAAGCTCTTGCTAAAAGCAAAAGATGTTTTCAAGACAAGATTTGGTTTAAAATCAAGCTTCCCTTTTTGTAATGCTTTTCTTGATTCTTTGCAATTTACTACACTACAAAATTACAACTAGCAGTTTTATTTGTTTGCCTAACCAAGCAAACGAATGGAGGACAAGAGAAAGAAAAATGGTGTCAGTTTCAATTTTAAAAAATAAAAGGATTTAAAGATATAGTCCATCATTTGTAATTTGTGCATTTTGTTCCTTTGAAGCAACAAAAGTGTTCAAAATCTAATGAAGGATACTGAACAACTAACCTGATGAAGTTTCAGCTCAGTTTCAGCTGTATATTCCGAGAAAAACAGCATTCTAGGATCTCAATTTCAAATCAAAAGTTGCTGAATCATGTTTTGAATATTTTTGAATTGCAGCTATACGCGATGTCGCTCACTGATCCGACGAATTACAGCAACCGCGCGCCCTTGTGCGTCGTGCCAATGCTTGCGCGCGCTGCGCCGAATAACAAAAACGAACTACTAATTAAAATTTTCCTACGGTGCGTCTTAAGACGCACCGTTGGAAAGGCCTTCTTTCGTTGATTACTTCAAAATGATAGCTTGCCAGAAAGATTACTTTCACAGGGAGTTTAGTCCACTTACTATCTTTTAACCAAGTATGTTTTTCAACAATAATACGCCAGTTACTTTTTCGGATGGCTACAAATGATGGACTATAGCTTTAAAAACACGTCATCAAACTGTTCTGAATTAAAAACATCAGGAGTATTTTTTTTTATCTGTGGGTGGTAATATTTCAGTCTGTTTTGGCCTGATTTGTTCATTGTTGCTAAACAGTGTTTATTAAAGAACTTTTCATGGTATTATTACTATTGCAAATTATACTATTTGGGAGACACTTTAGCGTGGGAGGTTTGCCTTGGGAGACATGTGGAATTAGGGAGACATTTCAATGTCTCCCTAATGCCTCAGCTCCTATTTAGAGGCAAAAGTTTATTGTCGCAAATAGGCTAGATCGATTCTTGTGGTCTAATTAGTAAAATACCAAAATTGGTGGGGTGGGATAAGGGAAATTGGGGTTAGGGGTCAGAAAAGTCGGTTATTATTTGTGCACAAGTCTATGGGAATGTCTGCCTAAGACCAAAACAAAAACAGTTCTGCTTCCGAGGTTTTTTTTTTTTTTGGAGGGGGGCATTTTTTTTGTGTTATCATATGTAGGTGTCTGTGTGTGGTCAAGGGAAAAAGGTAGTAATTGATAGATATGGGTTTTCCCCCTCATTTTTCCCAAAAGAAAATTAGGGTAGGGGCTCTCAAAATATTATATATATTTTTTAGTTATATTATTAGTGTTATTAATTTGTTTTGCCACATTCTGTTCACTACACATACAGAGAATTAAGGAGTAAACACTGAAAACAGAAACAGTTTTATTCCTGAACCCCTTCCACAAATCCCCCCCCCCCCCCAAGTGGAACACTTAGATATGACAGCATACTTGGGATGGTGCATAAGTTTCCAGTGAATCCTGATGAACAGACACAGGTGTAGGGGTTTCCGAAGCCATTAGGTACAGGGTTACAGTCTGCTCCGTTAGCACACTGATGCTCGTAACAAGCAGGAACTGAAGGCAGCCACGAAAATAAAACAACATGACGAATATGACAGCAATGACAAAATGACAGCATGTGACAATGACAAAGAGGAGAAATACTAATAATTACTACTGCACATGTCAAATGTAGCCATCTCTGTAAAGACTTGCTAGTCATCAAGTAATTTATATTTTGTAATCAGGTCATTCTATAACTTTAATTAGGGTCCAAAGTGTGACATTTTTCCTGTCCCTGTTACCTTGGTACTTTGTAATTTGCCATTCAAGTATCATTAACAATGACTTCAAGCAATATTATATTTGTTGGGTAGGTAGTTTGCTATTCATAATCACTCTTGAAAGATGACTGCATTAAGGAGTACATCAGAATTATAAAATTATAGATGTTAGATGTAACGGGGACAGGGAAAAAAGTGGACCCCAAATTTTAATAGAATGACCCGATTGACTTTTAAAGTTTTTAATGGTGAACTCTTGGGGGGAAAAATGCTGGAAAAAAATCTCATTTGAGTAAACAACCATGGTACATTCATACATTCTTTTATTTTTAAACAGTTTTTTTTATGCAAAGTGAATTCCCACAAAAGCTAACTGAGCGGATCAATCTGAAACACAGAAATCACGAAACTTAGATGTCCTGACTTTTCAATCCTAGAACGAGCTTTCTTAAACATGTTAAAGGCAAAGGCTTTTGTGAAAGATTCTTCTTTGGAGTGAAACACAAGGCCCCCTAACTTTTAAGAAGCACATGTTTTTTTACTCAATTAGCACAAAGAAAAGAAACCCCAAAAAATACAATGTCGATGATACATCTTAAGTTCTTATGACTCGGACGCAAGCCTAATTTCTAGCCATTCACGATGTTGTTGAGCAGCGTGTGTCGGCAATGCCTTTCGTTCCTAATTCTATGTTAAAAGCTGCACTGCTTGGCCAGCAATAAACCCAAGGCTAGTTCAAATGTATTGAAAAACTTTGGTTTGAAAGTCTACTCAGCAAGCGTCAAAGAAATAGCAGAGAAGAGACTGGACAAATGAGTTTTGTAGTCTTGTAAGGCACACCCTTATAGACCTTTATCATGCAGCCACCATTTCAGTCATGTCCCCTGTCTCCAATAACAGTACTGAATGATGTTTGTTGTGCACAAAGGAACCAGACTATTTTTTCTTCCAGCCTCGCTTTGGTTACATTGATATGAATGGGGAAAATCCAAATGGCGGCAACATGATAATGGTCTATAAGCTTCAGGTCTTCAAGATCACAGCTTCTGTTCTCATGGTTATTTGATATTTTGCTTTTGATACGAATTAATCTTATAAAAAAAACCAGACATATGAATTGGAAAGTGATACTGTTCAGTGAGATAACCTCCTGTGCCTTCCACATTTCATGAGAAGAAATTATCCTTTTATATTGCAATTTGTAAATATGTAACATTCATGGAATAATGAGCTTGTCCAATTTCCTGGTGTACTTTGATAAATGACAACTGATATCTAACCTTCGTAAGGAAGTGCACTCGGTGAATCAATGACCCAGAATGTTGTAAACTGCTGGGCGACGACGGCACTGAGAGGAAGATTTTCAGAAAAATAAGTCATGGTTAGGTATGTTTTTAACCCAAATTGATTGGTCACATTGACAAGTAATGATTTTCTCCTGATAACCCAAAATTGAGGGCATTAGCATGGTGACAGGCGATTTATTGGTTAAAGGTTGAACTATTGAAAGGAAATTCATAAATTCCACATACTAGACTACTTTCCGCTATGGGCTCCTTGCGCCAACACAAGAGGGCGCTTTTTACCACTTTTGCACAGCATGTGCGTACTGCACTGAACTGGTTCGCGCACGAAGTACGCATGACTTCTTGATTGAGCCAAAGCTATTAGCCACAACGTCTTTGCGTGAGTGTCGGGCGTCGTCGGTGCACGAATACGTTCGAATTTATATTGCGATGGTATTCCAGACTAATCCTCAAGCCCACGGGAACGGGGGGTGCTTAGTGATAGCCAGAAGAAGCTATTAGCCACAACGTCTTTGCGTGAGTGTCGGGCGTCGTCGGTGCACGAATACGTTCGAATTTATATTGCAATGGTATTCCAGACTAATCCTCAAGCCCACGGGAACGGGGGGTGCTTAGTGATAGCCAGGGGCATCGCGAGGGGGGAGGCAAGGGGGGCACTTGCCCCCCTGGAAAAGCACCCCCCCAAAAAAAAAACAGAAAGGAAGAAAAAAAAAGAAAAAAAAGAAAAGAAAAAGAGGCACGAAGACAAAGTGGTGTAAATTTAATGAGTTGGGGGGGGGCAAAATGTCCCTGCCCCCCTCTAAAACTGATAAATCGAGAATGTGTTTGAGAAATACAAGCATTTTTTGGCCAAAAAAATTGTTGCCCCCCTCTAGAAAAAATCCTGGCGACGCCCATGGTGATAGCCAGATTTAGGAATCTTTCCGTTTTGTTCTTATTTTTCTAATATTCGGGCCATCTACAACCATCTGAAAAGAAGGCTAATTATTGTGCATTGCTTTTACTTATTTCAGCCTAGCACGCAGACTGTTTCACGGGTCCTACATTATGAATTCTGATAGGGGGGGGGGGGCTGGAACCAGTCTACCCGGGAACAACTAAAATTATATCAGAACGCAAGTAGTTTAGAACATTTTTTAAAAAACATATTCACAATTAAACCTGGATTAATCTTTTTATTTAATATCTCATTCAAAAATAAATAACTTTTGTAATGCCTTAACAAAATATAAAGCAATTTCAAAGAATAACCAATGAATATTTCAGGGTGAAACTCACAATAGCAGGTAGAGTGCAGTGGTGTTCCCTAACGTGGCGCACTTCGACTTTTACCCCGACTTTCCACATCAGTGTTGCCCAACTTCTTTGTTGACAAACTTCAAATTCATTCAGTGAAATGCTAGTACTTTTACCTTTATAATGCTTGCTATTTAACCTCTGTGAACAATTCCGGTTTCATGAAATTTAATCCGAAATTCAAAAACGGCGGTGTCCGGAAATTGGGCACAAATCAGCTGAGTGTTCCCCAATGTGGCGCACTTGAATAAATCTCGGAAAATTCCAAATTAAAATTTAATAATTTCTGTAAAGTTGATAAATTCTGCTAAACAATTACTATCTCTACTTACATACCCAACTTGAAGTTTGTGAACAAATTATTTTCTACTTTTGGGGGGATCATTTTCAAAGGGTTCACTATGCACTTCGAAATAGAATCTAAAAATCACGCCCAAATACATTTTTTTTCTAACTTTGTAACGGGAAGATAAACTCGTGATTTATGAACGGAAGTGTTTAGAACTTGATGAAGTTTCACTTTCTGTGCAATTTCAGTTAAAACTTTGCTCTAACTAGGCGCTACAGGCGAAAAATCTAAGTGCGCCACGTTGGGGGCCGCGCCACGTTAGGGTACATCAATAGTACATTGTTAACCCATGTTTTCCTTACTATATCCGGACGGGTCCATAGTCCTGGAGTGCCATCCACTGGAACAGCATATCCACCGGCTTCAAGTCAGTGTTGTCGTGGGTGACCGTGTCCTGATCGGAGGCCAGGGCGCTGTTTGGAGTGTTACAGGAGAAGGTGTGGGAGACCTGCTCAGGATGTGATATCCACACGCCAACAGCGTTGTTGTCGCTGTCCACGACTTGCAGGAAGAACGCTCGAGGTTGAGTTTCGCCCGTCGAGGTGATGATGCGGACTGAAATGGATGAAGAATGGATGAACTATTAGCAGGATTAAATAATTACACCCTTCCCCCCCACCCCCACCCCCCTCCCCCCATTTGGTCCGATTGGGGATCTGTTATTGTATAATTCAAATTTATTGTGCAAATTTATGCAAATTTTGCAATACAATGTCTTTAAAAAGCCGCGAAAGAGATGACGTAATGTTTATGAAAATTTTTATGCTGTAAAATAATGCAATGTCATTACAAAAACATGCAATCTTGTATTTTGGAATCAAAAAGCTTGTTGAAGAATGTTGACACAAATTTGTTAAGTCAATGAGACAGAAATTTGCATCTTAAGATGTCCATTTAGGCTAGCCCGAGTAACTAGGGCCCAACTCATCGCCTTTTAAACAATTGGACATGGTGTGGCGATAGGGCCAAAGTTGAATGTCAGACAAAGCGTTTTGGAATAATTACCCACCCAACAATTTGCCAACAAAAACATCAGATTTCACCCTCAAAACGGCGACAGAATTACTAGATACGCCACCTGAGATACAAGTAGAGATTGATGATTAAGATCAAGGTACTAAGGTTTACTTACAGTGACATTTACCATTTATCGAGGAAGGCTCCGTCGCGAATACCACGCTCGCAAAATGGCGTCCACGCGGTATTTGCTACAGAGCCCTCGCCATAAATGAGAAATTTCATTTTTCATCGGGATTGTAAGTAAACCGTAGTACCTCTATCTTAATCATGGATCTCTACTTGTATCTTAGATGGTGTATCTAGTACTTCTGTGGCTATTTTGCGAGTGAAATCTGATGTTTTTGTTGGCAAATGGTTGGGTGGTTAATTATTTGAAACTGCTGCCGCATAGGGCCACATAGGACATTGACTAGGTTGGTGATTCATTCTTAAAAATGGTAGCTACACATTCACAACAAGAGAGTTAGTGAGTTAAAGGGCATGTACATCATTTGCTTTTGCTGCAATTTTCAGAAATAAATGGATTTGGAGGATTAGTATGTTATAGCAAATATTGTTACACTGACTTGTTTCACGTTTTCGTTTCGTAGATGCTGGAAAAACCAAGAAAACCAATCATATTCTTGTAGTGTGGTTCCCTGACACCACTTCAGATGAAATGGAGCAATTTATAGACTTTGGGGAAATGTAAGATAAGAGAATCAGCCTAGCAGGCTTGTAGTCTTCACAGGTGTGTGATCAAATGCAAAGAAAATGCAGACGAAACTAAATATGAAAAAGTAGTAGCACTTTTCGAAAAAAAAGCCAGTTTTCTCCAACGCTGGTCGGCTGACCAGCGTTGGGGGAAAAAAAAGTTTTCCTTGAAAATGTCAGCACACCAAGAGCCATAACTTTACTGGATGCTTTAGTTTAGACTGTCAAGTGTCATTTCCTAACAATCCAGTCAGATTTTTCATGATAATTTGATCATTTCGTTTTTTTATTTTTGCAAATGTTGTATCTTCCCTTTAATCTTTCAACTCAACTGATATCTGAAGTGTCATAATGACAAGTCCCCTATGTACTGTTGAGCTTGAGTAACTCCAGCTGACATGCTCATATTCATTCACATGTGAATGAATATGAGCATGTCAGCTGGAGTTACTCAAGCTAAACAAGATGAATGCTTAAAAAATGTTCCCTGCTAATTTTGACTTTTAGGACATGTTACCGCTTTCCGGTGGCTGATAGGTCATTGCAGGGTACTATAATAGATGCCCATATATGGAACTCTTTCCAAAAAGATGTAATAAACCCAAACAAACCACGACTGATTCCGGAATCTGAAGCAACATGCTCAAGACGGGAAAAAAAACTGATGGAGGCCGCCATATTTCATCCGCTACAAATCAAGAGGGGGCGCTAGACTAAAAACTTTTAACCAATCCAATCTTGGATCGCACACGTACGTGCGCATGTGCACACCAATCATGCAAGTGGTGCATGCTAATTAAGGCCGGCCTGGTGTTCCTTTGCAAAAAAAAAAAAAAAATCAATGGTGGAAAAGACGATAAAGCAATCGGACTTGATTGACACCCGCGGCAGTTACAAGACATTCATTAATAATGACACCTTTCTTTTTTTCCCCTATCGTAACCTAGTTACGTGGCGAGTCTATTCTCGGGAAAATTGTGTAGCTGAACCCAATTGTTTTTGACAGATGCTAACCTGAAACAACAAAAATATTATCGCTTAGCAAATTCAAAAAAGTATGCTCAGCAAAAATCAGACGAAGACCAGACATGAACCAATCACAATCGTTATGCATCACTTTTGAGCAACAGTTGCCATGGATAATTAGCGTAAAAGTAAAGCTCTTGAAGCTTTGAAACTTCGTGCCATGGTAGGCCTTGATGAATAATGTTTAAAAGTAAAAAAAAACTGAAAATCGACAAAAATATGCTTTAACACGGTAGAGTGTTACTTCGTGGTGTCGGTGACGAAATGTGACCTGTTTTGGGTAAGCAAATGTTTTGGTTAGATCTCCATTAAAACTAATATTTGGCTTGATGTTTCATCAGTAGTGGCCAGTTTATCGAGTCACTTCTACATCCTGAAGCGTTGATGTCAGTCTTTGCGCAATTTTATCTTTGATACGGGAGTACACTTTAAAAAAAAAAGACAGACAAAACATCTTCACAAAGTAAGCTTTTAGTAGATGTTCAGTTAAGCGTATTATCCAGCAAACATTTTACATGCCATTGGTTGCAGGTTGCAGTGATGACACTGCTGGTACGACGCGCGGAATGACCTTGTTACTGAATTCACTGTTTTGTGACGTCAAAAGTACTGAAGTGTATAAATCGAAAGTGACGTTTCTTCTGCTCTCAATCATCAACTATGATTCAATATTCATTCATTCATATTTATTTCATAATCAAGAACATAATAATTGTTGTGTAGACAAAATATTGGGAGTGAAAATCAAAATTCACTCAATCTGACTGAAACTAGGCACCAGACAATTAAGAGTGAAACTCGGTCGAACCGATCGAGTTTTTAGTGAATTTCGAATGAAGAGTTTCTATTGAAGAGTATTTCAATCGTAAACTAGACTGATTTTCACTCTCAGGCTAAATCATCCAGTCACCAGTTTCATTTTCGAAAATGAGCGGTCCAACAATTTCACCGATACCATGTAAATAATTGACTTCCAAAGCCAAGGTTTATAAAGAAAGTCTTCCATTATTAAAAACAGGTACTTTATACACTTGTTGTTGTTGTATGATGATTGCTATGTCTAATAAAAGCTCTTGTTCTGGACTTGTAAAATGTGTACAAGTCCCGTAGCAATCATCATACAACAACAACAAGTTTATAAAATACCTGTTTTTTATTATATATTTTTACAAACTTCTTCTATAGAGCCTACTGCGCTTATCGGTTGAATGCACCGACTTTGTCCTTCCGTGAAACTGCCCAAGGCGGTTTGAGTTCGGCAACAAAGACACGCTTCTATTGTTCTTATTCACAATCCTTTGACAATAAACGTGGGTTTGAGGACTTAAAAGTTGACCTTTTACAAAGAGTTGGGTGCTCAGTGTTCCATGATTGTTGGGCCTGAGACCTAACTGGTCAATGTAATATGTATTATGTCAATGCAAGGCATGCGTTCTAGTCGAGGTCAAATAAACGTATCTTCTGTTCGAAGTTCTTTCAATAAGGAGTTTCATACACTATCGTTAAAAAGACACACCAGCACACCTTTTCAAATTAACACATGGATGATCAGGACTCTTTCCCATTTCAAATTGTTGTTTCGATTGATTAAATTGTGAATCTCATGCATATGAGTACCAAAGTTTTTCATTCACAGACGAGTGATTTTACGACAAACACGACATTGACAAGAATGGAGTCTGTAATCGTCCCACGCATCCATATCCCGCTTGCGTTTATGCATGGCTGCGTGGTGTTGTACTGTGCTGATCAAGATTCACTTTTGGGCGGGTCTAGCAGCAAAATTGTAAAGGTAAAAATACCAATTTCGAGTCCCAACTATAAACAAATTGTTGACATGAAATCTACACATAATATTTTCAATAAAATGTAAGTTTTCAAACTGATAATATGTCAATATCTAAACTTTTGAGAGAGGGATTATAACGATATTATCATGTCAAACTTGTATTAATTCAAAGATGTAAGGCCTACTGTCGGTGCTTTCAATAAATTCCATTGTCCCCCTCCACAAATTTTCAAATAGTGTTTGATTCGAACGAACAATTTACACTTTTTTCTCCTATTTTGGGCGTCTGCAACCAGAATCTTTCGGGGCAAAACTCAAAAACAGCACTGATAATCGTTAAAAGCCTATAGGATCATTGGCTTTGTATGCATTTTGTTTGTTTCCAATAATAACATCTCTCAAAATCCAAAGAAAAAATGTTCAAAACCTAACCTGTTGAAGTTTCAGCTCAGTGGACATTACACTTTTTGAGAAAACAGTGAAAAACCCTGCGCAACCTTTTGATCACGAAACACGATTTTCTCTATAATACTTTATTTCCCCCAAATCAGTCAATTGACAGATCATAGGAAATCGCCTTAAGATACCTACATTTCTTGATTTCTTCTAAATGACAGCAAGCCAGACGGAATCATTTCACGTTTTTTTTAGTACTAAAACGATCCTTAATCCAAGTAAGTGTTTTGATAACAATTCGGTATATTACTTTTGGGTTCATGCACTGAATGTGCCAAACAACAAGCGCGTGCGCCAACCAAGGCGATGGTTGTTTAAATAAACTCATAAATGTATCATCAGGACACAATGAGAAAACTGTAATGCACTAATATGAACATGTAAAGAACATTTCTCTAAAACTAAGTTACTGTCGTTTACCACATGACTTTGAATACCCCACTCTTAAAAAAAACCCAATAGAAACACAAATTCGACATTTACAATTAAAAAAGTTGCTTGATGTTCGTGGGAACAATTCGCCTTCGTAGCAATGGGCTTCCCCGTTTTGAAACAAAGATCGCAAAACACTATTGGTTGAGATTTGCATCTCAGCGACGGAAGATAAAAATATATTTTCTGATACAAACTTTCCTTTTAGATGAATTTATTAGCTTTGCAATTGTAATCATGGAAAGTTTTGCAACACATTTTGTCTGTCACTGAACCGAACAGTCTTATCCGAGTCACATGACAAACGACAAAATAGGGATTCAACAGTTTACCCAAAATGGAACAAAACAAAAACCCAGAAGATAGACATGACTTTTCGATTCTCTACATGTAGTCCTTGTTTTACTAAACATTTGACGCCCAAAGTGCCCGGGCGTATTCTTACCTCCGATAGGTTGGTTGACGGTATAGGATGCAGACGTAGCACCAGTCAAGTACGGACTCGTTGATACCTGTGGCTGGTAGTTAGCAACAGGGTTAGTATTAGGAATGGGATGAACAGGCAACTTGGTCGTACAAGCCGTTAGAGGTGCTCCCTCTGGCCTCCCAGCAACCAATCGAAGGGAGATTAAAGCAATCAAACAACCGAAGAGCAGACAAGTTTTCAGCGCCATCTTGGACTCGGGGTAAAACCAAAAGTGAAGGCGCATGTGTAAGCATGCACTACACGAGAGTCAAAAATAGTTATACCAAGTACATGTACACACAAAGTTTGCTATACTGCGCCACAATAGTTCTCGTATTACTCATGGACATTGTAGAAATATGGGTGTAGGCCTTTTGTTGGGGTGTACGGTTCACTTACCACAGTGAAAAGATATTTTTCCGACCTGATAGTGAATGCACCTACGACCTTGCCTTTCGTGAAGTCCTGAAAAAGGCTGCATGCATTTTGGGTATGCGTGGATTTAGTACCAACAATGGGCGCGGTTGGAATTTGTTGACGTTGGTCTCGCTTAACATTGAACTCTGTCAGTTTAAAGACATAATGGAGTTCACTAGCTTAATCGCAGCCTAAAAATCATTTCAGTGAAACACGAAAACGGCCAACACAGTGCCATTTTACAAGCTAAGAACAATGCTTCAATCTTTTAATGAATAAAATAAAAGTAACAAAGAAAAGTGGCCGAATGTGGGTTATTCTATAAATTTGGGGTCCAAAGTGTGACAATTTCCCAGTCCCTGTTACCTTAACGGAAACTGTCATTTGCTGTTCATGAATCATTAAGAACGATTTCGTACGATTGTTTATTTGTTGGATGGGTAAATTACTATTCATAATCACTCTTGGAGGACGACTGCATTAAGGAATGCATCAGAATTATAAAATAATACATGTCAGATGTAACAGGGACAGGAATAAAAAGTGGACCCCGAATTTCCACATGCATAAACCATTACATAGTACTTCCCTCCAACTGTACTAAAATGTTCGATTGACGGTAATATGCAGTTCCATACTTGTTTCTGTTAATTCTCGTGCACATGTAAAAAAAAACAAAAAAACAAAAAACTTTACAAATGCTGTTTTTCTTTATCTCTTTCCTCCTACACCGCCGATTTAAAACCTAGATATCCCAGATGAACAAAGGGACTAAAGCGTTTCAAATTTATAGGTAAGGCCAAAAAAATATATATTCGGTCTCTGGTCAGACCAAAGTTCCGGAATTGACGCGGCCACGCGGCTTTTTTTTTTGTGTGCTTTTTTTTTCTTTCTTCAAGCTTGGATTGTACAGACAAGGTGGGGTACTATTTTGCTTTTTTGGTGTCCTCATGTACACTGGTGTCCTCCATAATTTGCCTTGGTGCTTTCGATCATTTGCCTTGGTGCAATTTCCCATTCCTTGGTGCTCTTTGGTAAAAAATTTTTTGAGGAGGTGCGGAAATAGAGGGCGCTGTTGGAGCTACCGCAGAACATTTTGGAGAAAAAAAAAAGATCGACGCGCATGATTAAAATCGACGCATGCGCTGGCCAGAGACCGACTTATTTTTTTTTTGGCCTAATTGTCAATTAAATAAAAATGAAAACAAAATGGAGACGAATTCACACTTCTTTTCTATGATATCTTGATTCGTGGCTCATTCGTTTATTATTTTTTTTTTACAATAATTTTGTATAAATTATACAGAGCTATGCCTATTCCATATAACGCTATAGCAGCTATTGCTCTACTACATTTAACTATTTTGTGTGCAGCACCATAAATAGACATGTAAAGACTACCACAAACAAACACGAGAGGGCAGCATCCAATTTGGACAGGCACATACAAAAATAACACAATAGACTGGACCCTTTAACAAAAATAAAGAATCACACGAAAGTGCGCGATCTCGTTGAAATGTACAAAGACATTGTAAACAAAATGTAAACATCTGGAAGAAAAAAAAAGTCTGCGTCGTGACTTTTCAAGTTATTATTTTGTTTCTCTACAGACAGGCTACCTTTGTACAGAAAGTTTTAAAAAATGCCCAATCTGGAATCAATGCCCGCATTGGAAATGAGTGGCTAGTCTAGTGGCTGTGGCTTCATTTTCAAACTGGTACCCTGATTCGAATTCTATAGCTCACTCTTGAAGCGCACGTGGATTCAAGACCTTTAATAGTCTCACAAGATGTCGGTCAAATCTTCATTCTCAATAGTAGTGAGAGGTGTTTTCAGCGGGACCGAAATTTCAAAAGTGCCACAAAAATGACTTTAAGCATGCAGCAGTTACATGTTAGTGTTTTTACATCACAGTTCAAAGCATAACAAGAGACTTCAAACTTATAGTTTCTTTTAAAACAGATGTGGTTGATATCTTGAAGTTCAAAAGTATTTTTTTTTGGTATAGACATGCAGCTTATGGCATTATCAAAACTCTACCCATATATTCCATATGACGACGGCGTATCGCCCTTGGCTTCCACACATATTGCTAGTAATATCCTGCAATATAAGACAGAGTCGTAACTCCTTGGCTACGGCTAATAACTAAACATGCGTCTATGGATGCGGCTAAGGCCATATCCCATGGACATATGTGTTATCGCTAGCCCTGGCCAAGTATTTTGGACAGTCTAACAAAGTAGAGTGTGTATAGAAGCCACAGGCTGTCACATTGCAGCACCTTTAATTGTTTCAAAATAATATCCATGACAAAAAGCCAATTCCATTGCTCATAAGGGACTCTTGCAATACTATTACCATACTGTGGCGAATTTGCACAGCATTAGTTCAACACAACACATACAAGTATGGGATTAGAAAGTTACTTATCAAACTTTCGGCCAGTACTGGTTCCCATTATCATGTGGTAGCTGGTTATCATCCAAAGGCAACGCACAATGTCAAATGAGTATGTTATGCCCAACTAGTCCAAAGCACCAACTGAAGTTGGGATGGTAACCTGAAGTGTTGTAGTTGGAACATTTTTAGTTGGGACGGTCCCAACTGAAATTGGGATCTTTCTGACTAAAGTTGGAACCAATAGCCCAATTGGGGCGTAGCAAAAATCTTGACACAGACAGACAGGTAAACGACGGGTACGATATGTACAGAATTTAGAGGCGGGAATGATTTTTGCAGATAAGACAATGTCCAAGTCACAACGGAGGGTTAATTTCATCAGAATCTCAAAAATGCTTCAAAAAGGAAGGGAAATATTCAAAAATTTTGAATGGTTGAAATTTGAATTTGAATGTGAATTAGAATGAATCGACCAGTTCAATTAAAAGAGTGATTATATACATGTAGTAATAATATAAACTATTACCGCAAAAGTCATTATTTTATATTGTACATTTCTGGGTTTTTAAAAAAAAGAAATTTCCCTTGAAATGACCAGCCTGCAACTAGTTTTCAGTTGAAAACTATTATTTTTGCCAGCGGACCGAAAAATGTGTCCTTTTTTTAATTGTACCAAAAATCACAGAGTTTTGAAACTATTTGAATTATGTGAGAAACAGGGTTTTTAAGCCAGCGTAAGAACGTCGTAGGTAGCCATCGTAACATTACGATGGTGTTTACTACAATTAGGTATACCCATATTGAACTGGATACACAGTGGTCAATGCTGGATTAGAATGTTCCAGAATTGCAACTCTTTCCAGAAAGGTTATAAACTCATTTTGGTGATGGACACTTATATCGACTAGATAGAGGAGATAGAATCTAAAACGATTTTTCATTAAAAACAAGGCTTTCAAGGCCGATCATACTTTTTTGCAATACAAATTTCACGATGCCTATAATTGAAGTTTCATTGTGATGATCGCCGTTACTCTAACAAAATTGCTTCGTAATAAAATTTGCATGAAACATGAATAGGCCTCAAAGCACGACAAAGTAAAAAAAAAAGAAAAAAAAAGATGCCATGTCTTTCTCCTGTATTATATATATTTTGTTAGCAAAGTACACATTTTCTTACTTTGCCTGTACTTAGAAATAATGAGTTGCTCCTAGTTATATATTTTTCTTCTCATTTTAATATAAAAAAGGAAAGTTTTTAATTTAATAGTCTTTTAATAGTGCATCTCACTATATCGTAAAGTTAATGGTGCAAAGTGAAAAACATCAGCATAATTGTGGACCTCTCGCACTGATATCAAAACATTTTATCAGAGAATCTTCCCATTCCTCAACATCAATGTTAAAATAAACTCCTCAACACGAATCTTTTGTTTTCCTTCAATGTGTAACAAAATTCTCACTATGAACACTTCTTGAGGTAGGCTCAGATCCTAAAAATAGAAAACTTAAATAGTACAATTTAAAAACTTAGATTTTGTTTGGAAGCTTGTAAGTTTACGTTTGACGAGTAAATATGACAACTCTTTTTTTTTTTTTAGTGTTCCTTCAAATTCATTCTCTAAACCAAATCAATTAAATTTCATCTTTTTTTTTTCAAAAATGATTCTTTGGTCATATGCGATTTTTGCTTCAAGCTTTCTGAAAATCTACTTCAATCTGTCCATTACACTTTTTTTTTTTGCCTTTTAAACATGAATTACTCGAGTCAAAATAATTTAAAACTTTTTTTATACAACGCTAAATGGCCCAGCCATATTTACATTTGTTTTTTAAATGTGAATTTTAATATTATTACACAAGTCATGAAAAAAAGGAAGGAATCTCCATCAGTTTTCTTCTGAAACTTCCTGGGAAAAGAAGGCGTAGAAGCATTTTACTTGGCACTTTAAAGACCACAATTGACAGGATTTTTGCCTTGGGTATGCTACAACATGCTTGCCTGAACAAGTTTTAGAAGGACTAACTGGAACACCTTGCCCTGTTTGCCCTCGAAAAATTGACTTTTTACTTACAGTTTTCGATCCATAGAATCCTGATCTGGGAAAGTACCGTGAGGTCACAGAATTTCTTTCAGAAAACAGTTTTCACAAAAAGAAGTTTAATCTTGAAATGCTCTTATTATCTCTGAAAAAAAAAGGAGTTTTATATTTTTACCTTTTTTTGAGGTACTTTTGCACAGCGGCGTAACTAGGGTTAAACTTTTTAAGGGGGCACATTTTTCAACAGGGGGTGGGGGGGGGGGAAGGGGGACAGGAGGGGGGGCGCATGGGGGGGCACTGGAGGCAACTGTTGTATTGTTTTTGTGCAATTCACAAGTTTAAATGGGGGCACATGGTTCACAGCATTTTCAACCAGGTTTAAAATAAAAACCCAGTTGTTTCCAGTTGTCTCTCAAACGAGTTCGCACGCACGTTGCAGAGCACACCCAAGGCATCAAGAAAAGTTCAAAGCAGGTCTTACAGCATTTACAAAAAATGCAATTGTACACGTTAGGTTAGCGGAAGCGGCTGAAAAACGCCACTTTCATTCTGTCGTAATAAATAAATAACCTATAGAAACGCATGTGATACTTGTCAGACTGCAGCCCTGTCAACAGATAGCACTTTTGTTTAATTATAAAAAACAATTTGATTGTATTTACAGCAATTTGCTAAAACTTCATAAACTGGCGGCGCAAAACTGCAAATTAGTATCACTGTTACAGCTACAAATTGACCAGACTCACTTTTTTTTTTTCACGACAAAATTTCCTGACAAAATTTTCTGCAGATGTCCCAACCACTCGACTACTGAGCTTTCCTGATTTGGCTGGCCGATTCGAATCCACTGATGGGCAAAAACCCAATATTAAAAATTGACTTTAATGCAAAATTCCATCAAAAAGTCAAGTCTGTGGCTGTAACAGTGACACACGAAATATCCAGTTTTTGGTGCAACTGCCATTTGACCACCAGTGCAGCAAGCCACTGGGTTTATCACGTAAAAACTTCTCTGAAGTCAGACTTCATGAAGACTACGACAGAATTGTCAGTCTCCACGCGTCACTTCTACTGACTGACTGTTCCAAACCAGTCAGATCTTCCTCAATCATAATTAAAAAATCTTCCTGAAAAATGGCCATCACTTTACATAGGAAGTTTATGAAACTCGGGCTTGATCTCCAGCTTCACCTCTCAAATCTCTTTAAGCCAAAGATTGAACCAAGTCGAGGTTTCACAAACTCCCACAGTGATATCACTGATGCAAACGTATGACATCACATTACATCAACTTTTGTAATTTTTTTTCCCGCCAAACCTGTCACAAACAATTTATTCCCTGCCATTGTCCAACTGCTGGAGGTGGTTCTGGCCGTCCACGTACACATGACCTTTGACCGAGGTCATGACCTCCGGATCCATGTCTTCCTGCGATGTGGTTGAGTAGCGGGGATCCAGTTTTCCACGCATCAACGGCTCACCACTGTGAAAGAAGGAACATGGGTACATTTCATGGATTACTTTTTGACAAGTTACCCGGAGAATTATGCGCAATCAGACAAGGAAGTTGGTTTATGAATAAATTGCAATTTGGCCATCTAGCACTTTCGATTGTGAAAAATATTTTGTTACGTTCATAAAACATTTTTTAAGACGCGAGACGCGAAGCATCTAAAAAATACACAATTGTATTTCAATCAAAAATAAGACACTTGTTTTACAAACTAACTCCATTTTTATCACACTGATGTAAGACGTACCTACGTATACAAAAAACTCACTGATGTTTAGGCCCAAACAAAATTAGTCGGTCTCTGGTCAGGTGCACGTAGATTTTGATCATGCCCGTCAATAAATTTTAAAAAAAAATTCTGCGGTAGCTACAACAGCGCCCTCTATTGCCGCATCGCCTCAAGTTTTTTGTACCAAGGAGCACCAATGAATGGGGAAGGACACAAAGGCAAATGACGGAGGACACCAAGGTATATGAGGACACAAAAAGCAAAACAGTACCCACTTTCTCTGTACAATCCAAGCTTGAAAAAAAAAAAAAAGCATTGCTGCATCAATTCCGGAACTTTGGTCTGACCAGAGACCAACTAATTTTTTTTTTGGGGGTCTTATGAATAAATCATCTCATTTACGTTGAAGTCCCTTTTAGTTAAAACTGTAAAAAACTTGGAAAAGGTCATAGCAACACAACTCACTCGTCACTGTACTGCACAATTTCCTCAGGGTGGTGGTCCATGTGATGTGTCATGTGGTGCATCATGTGACCAGGCTTGTCCAATAATCCCTGTCCATTGGTGACAACCGTCATGCTCTCTCTAGAGTCTTGATCTGATGTGACATATCTGGGTCTGTTAGGAGGAAGAACCAATTCATGGAGGATTAACAAATATGTCTTGATAATTCATTTTACTTGGAAAATGGAATAAGAAAAAAAATCAAACATTGTAAACTGCTGGGCCCAATTTCATCGCTCTGCTTACCGTTAGCGAAAAATCCCTTCTTTTACTGTCTACTGTTTCTGCAGATTTGTTTTTACTAGGGCTGTTAGCACAGAATGATAATAACAAATAATAATAATGCCGGAGTCTTATAGAGCACGTATCTGCCAACAATTAGGTACAATTTTTTTAAACGGGTAAATGAAGTTTATGAGAAATATGAGACCCATTATGTAGCACCTTATAAGGGTTTACAAGGTGCTGCGACGCATATTGCAGCCACTGCCAGAAACACTGGGGCGAACCCCTTCTCTTAGCGATGTGTTACTGGGTTCTTTAACGTGTATTACACAACATGCAGGACTTACGACTTTACGTCCAATCCGAAGGACGAAGCAATAATGGAAAAGTGCCTTGCTCAAGAGCACAATGACCATGTTCCCCGTCAAAATTCGACAGCACACGAGTTGAACACCTTAACCATTGGACCACAGCCCCCCCCCCCCCAACAGAGTGAGTTGCGATAATGGAGATCATAAACACGGAATTCTGTAGTTAGCAGAGCCATGAAATTGGACCCTGATCTTAAGAGTCTGAAGTAAAGTCCACAATACTTGTAACAGCTTGTTTAGTAAGGAAGTGGGACAATGTCTCGGCACTAAAATAATATGTATATGACTAGAACAAGGCACTCAGGAACAAATACTTTCAAGTCTCCACACACCAATGCACACATAAAAGGAACAGATAGAGCATCCTCGGTATCAAACTTGTCGTCCAACTGTTGCAACTCTATGCATGGCTATAAAAACATCAGACCTGGGACTCAGAAACACGAAAGTGTCCCAACCAAATTAACCATCACTGTGCAATGGATAGTACCATCTTGTACTTCATAGAACAGTTGGAGGGTGGGAGAGGGTGTGTCTCTGAAACTGGCTTGGGATCAGGCTAAAGGAGGGTGTATTTGAGTCTGTGTGGCAATCGCCACTGAACAGAAAGGTTCAATTCTCTGTATGCAACTCACTCTTGGCTGAGATCTTCGGGTTGTTCCTGGTCCAGATGATGCAGATGATTATGACCACCCATCATCACCTGACCGTTGACCGTCGGCAATCTTTCTATCTCGTCCTCTCGTTCTTCCTCCTCCTCCTCCCCTGTCTCTCTAAAGTCCTCCCCCTCCGGTCCCTCTCTGCCATGCTCCATGTACCTCAGTCCCTGCTCTTGTTGGAGTCTCAAGTAGCGCGTTTCTTCCTCTAGCTGAGAGTGGCTGTAGGCGTTCTCCAGATCTTGTTCGGCGGTCACGTATCTTGGCTCGGGGTGCTCCCTGCTAATGCCGTTGCCGTCCTCAATGGCATCTTCCTCCATCGTGCTGCTGAACCGAGACGATTCAAGCTTGACACGCGTTGGTAGGTCTTGCCTGCTGGAAAATGAGTAACAACGAAACGTGATCGTCTTATCTCCTTGGTTCTACAGCAAGCCATGGCAATGTCTGAATTGGCTGTCTTGCGACTTCTGTTTTGATTTTTGACATTAACGCTCTACAATGAATACCCTTAGTCCTGTTCATTAATCCCCTTTTCAAAAACCACCCAACTTTCTTTTGAGTCAGCAAGCATCGAAGGGCAAGTTGGCTAAATTCACCAGTTCTTGTGCTAAATTTCAACTTATGCTGCGAAGGAACATGTTTCCAACAGGCGGGAATCAATCGCAGTTGACCTGTGTGTAGTTACGACGTCATTTGCATCTGGATCATCTAATTTTATTGTGGCTTATCATCCCGTCGTGGGCAATGTGAGCATGGCTGCGATTAGTCAGTGTTGAGATGCCGCTTGTTCCACGAAAATCACACGATTTATCAGATTTTTGACCTGAGCAGCACTTTTATTCTGACTGTTTGGTTGCAGCGCAAGGAAATCCCAGGTCGACCTGAGGCCGGCTTTAGACTCACTTATCACTCAAATCTTCTGGTTCTTCCTGATCCATGCTGTGCTCCATGCATTCCGACACTTCCTCCACTTCAAAGACCTCATCACTGTGAGGTTGTTGATCATTAATCGAGCTAGCAGCTGCAGCATCACTCAGCAATGGCAAGGCACCACCTGATGCACTGCTTGCCTGTCAATCCAAGAAAAAAAAAGGAACCAAGTTGAATTTCAAGTCATCAAAGGTGTTGTGGCAATCACAAATCAATGAAAGGTCAATGAAAAGTCAATGACAAGCCAAGCAAAAGTCAAGTCACGAGTCAAGTCACGAGTCAAGTCACGAGTCAGATCAGAAGTCAATCACAAGTCAATCACAAGTCAGTCACAAGTCAGTCACAAGTCAGTCACCAGTTAAGTCACAAGTCAATCACAAGTCAAACACAAGTCAACTACAAGTCCATCACAAGTCAGTCACAGTCAATTACAAGCCAATTACAAGTCAGTCACAAGTCAGTCACAAGTCAATCACAAGTCAGTCACAAGTCAGTCACAAGTCAGTCACAAGTTAAATCACAAGTCAATCACAAGTCAATCACAAGTCAATTACAAGTCCATCACAAGGCAGTCACAAGTCAATTACAAGTCAGATCACAAGTTACTGGCATGACCAATGACAAAGAAGTACTTTGTCCCAGTTCACTGAGTTGCTTGCCAATTGACTTCAAACAAAACGAATTGAGAAGACTTCTGCAAGACATAAAGAAAAACTATTTCACTGAAAAAAATGTGAGATGCAGAGTTTACTTCAGTTCCCCTTTATTTTTCTCTCATTGAACAACCATTTGTTTTATTAAAAGAAACGAACAACAATAGTTTCGAACAACAATAGTTTCATAACTTTTTACTGTTTTTTTGCCTTGGACTTTAGGTTGCTATTTTCAAAGAAAAGCCAATAATAACAGACCATCTGGCCTACCTGAGGAGTCTCCAAATTCAAAGGCAGCGGGTGTAGGCTGATGTCATGTGACCTGCTGACAGGCGTGGTGGGTGTGGTGGGAGTCGACGGTGGTGTTGTTAGGCTGAAAAAAAAAATACCCGAAAACACAAACATCAATTCAGTGTTGTGATCATGTCAGTCTAAAGTCACCTCAAGTCTTCACAAGTCAATCACAAGTAGAGCACTATGGTCCAATGGTTACAGTGTTCAACTCATGTGCCGTGGTATGTAAGCTAGCCCTGATAGGGAACATGGCGCTTGTGTTCTTGGGCAAGACACTTTACTACGATTACGTCTCTACAAAGAGAGTATAAATGGGTACCTGTGAAGGTAGAGACCAGAATGCCCTGATCTCGAGCTGCTGCAAAAACTGGTCTCATGGCCTGATGAACAGTGGTAATAATTGTGAAGCACTTTGAGACATTTGGTACACAGCGCTATATAAGGCCAAAAAAAAAAGTCTCCAGTTTCTGGTATGGAGCTTGCCCAAAAAGTGGTGCGGCGACGCGGCTTTTTTGCGTGTTTTACCTGATTTTTTTGCTTCAAATGTCGACTGATGACTGCAAATGGTGCCCGACTAAACTTAGTGCAAATATATTGGAGTCCAGAGAGGCCACATAAAGCTTATTCTCGACCATAACCCAATCTAAAAACACGTTAAAATTGTGCAGCAGCAGGATTCCAGTCAAACCAGTGAGTTTGGCGGTTTTGAGACATCATCTTTCATTGAAAAAAAAAACTTTTTTATTTTGCCGACGGGCATGGCTACGGCGACGCGCGCGCATACCAGAAACCGGAGACTTATTTTTTTGGGCCTAAGCAATACATTATTAGTAGTAATCCACTCTCAAGTCAAATCACAAGATGTTGAATAAATAGTTCCGAAGGCATCTTTTTTGCAATGTTCATCCCCTGTTACTTGTGACTTGACTTGTGATCTTACTTGATTTCAACTGGTAAGTAACTTGATATTTCACGTGTGACTTGACTAGCAATCGGCTTGTGACTTGACTTGTGACCGACTCGATCACAAATATGTTTACAACAATCTTCGCTTCGCCTGACAACCATAGAGACACAATCCTCAAAACACATCAATCAACATACCGGGAACATATTAACTGTTGGTTTCAAACAGGAACCATTCCAAAACAGGATTCATTATACCAATCTACAACAGTGTTTCTTTCCACACCTTGCACAATTAGTCGCCCCTAAGTGTTTCAAACATCTAACTTAATTCAATCTTAGGATTACTGCAGTTAGTGCAACTCTGGTAGCCAATCAGAATTGGGAGGAGAAACTATCCCACTTTTTGTTTGGATTGGCCAACCATTAAACACCTCTTTTTTTAATGGACCGTTCTGGATTTAGCCATCTAATTGTCAAATTCACACTGTTTGATTGACAGTAGGAAGGGTCCATTTTATGAGCAGGGGACGTTTAATAAACCTTGATGGCTTACCAGCTGCTCAGTTTCTGGGGTCGTCGTTTCATAAATTCCAGCTCATCCACGGTCCACACCGCGCCTTTGACATTCTCAACCCTGACAAAGCATTTGTGAAGACTGAGGTTGTGTCGTACAGCATTCTAGGATGGAAAAATGAACAAAATTCACAACATACACAATACGCAAGTAAAACATCTGTGTTAAAGGTATAGTCCATCATTTGTAATTTGTGCATTTTGTTCGTTTGAAGCAACAAATGTGCTCAAAATCTAAAGAAGGGTCCTGAACAATGAACCTGATGAAGTTTCAGCTCAGCTTCAGCTGTATATTTCAAGAAAAACAACATTCTAGGATCTGGATTTCAAATCAAAATTTGCTGAATCATGTTTGGAATTGGGCCTGACCTGAATTCAGCGTCCGAGACACGTTCTCACTGAGCCGATTGCAGCTACCTGATGTCGCGCACTGAACCAACGAATTATAGCAACCGTGTGCGTCATGTCAACACTTGCGCGCTTCGCCGAAAAAACCCCCCGAACTACTAACAAAAATTTCCAATGGTGCGTCTTAAGACGCACCGTTGGAAATGCCTTCTTTCGTTGATTACTTCAAAATGACAGCCTGCCAGAAAAAATACTTTCACGGGGAGTTTAGTCCCCTTACTATCTTTCAACCAAGTATGTTGTTCAACAATAATTACGTCAGTTACTTTTTGGATAGCTGCAAATGATGGACTGTAGCTTTAAAATAGTCTATTGTTAGCTAAAGATAAAAACCAAACAAAAATAAACAAAAACGAGGACAACAGCTTTAAAACTGGAATTATGGTTTGTTTTGCCAACGTGCCAGAAAGAAGTGAAAGAAGTGAAAGACCAGAAGCAATCAGTATGAAATCAAAGCTGAAAGTGAAACACAACGTCTTCAAGCTTTGTGGTTTTCAGAAAAAAATACTTGTAAATGTCAACAGTAATTTGTACCTTCCACGTTGCAGCATTGCGTCTGAAGTAAGCAAACGTTCTCGTAAACCAATTATAGATCTCGTTAAGAGTGAGTTGTCCGTCTGGAGAATCCAGAATGGCCTGTCGGATGAGGGCAGCATAGGTGAATGGCGGTCGCACGTCCGCCAGCTTGTAGAAGTCAGCATTGCGGTAGATTTCTGTGTCCGAGATAGAGGTAAACATCTTCACTCTTTAACATGTATGACAAAACTCTCTGACTACAGAATAAATGTTCATGATTCAATATTTGAACCAAAATGCGAACTTTTCCCCACAAATGGACAATCCACAAGCTGACACCAACAATGTTGTAGACTATTAGATACTTCTTGTTTTTTTTTTTTAACTTTTCATTAAAAACCACATTATTTGTTTTTCTATAGTCTTTTAAAATTTTTTTAATTACACGTTTAAAGTTTCTCAATGGCACCCTTTTGGAATGTCAAAAATGCATTATGTCAAAAATGCATTATGTCCTACAATGTGCCCAATTGGGCTACAAAACACATTTTAAACGAAATGATGTTAATTGACCTATCATGGTAGAATCGCATTAACGCAGCTTGTGAAATATTGTCCAATTACATGATATACAAATGGACGCGGAACGCGCAAAATCTGAGACAAACAAAAATTAGCGTACAAACTTCCATAGGGTTGTCTAAGGGGCGTGGCTAACTCGCAAACTGCGATAGGTCAATTGGAAAGAGTATTTTAATTGGACAGAACATTAATTCTTGCGAGAACCATGCGAGAATGAATTTCAGGGTTCAAAATTTTGACTCTCAAAAATCGAGCTGCTGACTGCTTGTTGTGAATCCTGCCGCAAACGTTCCACCAGTGCATCGCATTCTGCGGACATGTGAGAAATAACATTTGTGTATTGGTGCTGTGTGTATTATGTGACACATACACAATGTGTACCATACATTGAATGGACACGCCTTGAAATACGTAAGTGCATGTGACAAAATGTCTGTTGCGATGCGTCAGATGTATACAACCGCTTTTTGCCCGTCTTTTCTTGGGAACGGTAAGACATTAAGTTTTTTTCCTTTCAACCAGACCTTTGAAATAGGATAAGTCAACAATCCAAAACATACAATTTCAGGTCGCAATGCCCCTTTTACCCTCCTGAAACATGCATTCTGAGCCATGCTGTTACTTGGGTCAATATTGGTCAAGTGACCCATTGGTGTGTTAAAAGTATACCAGGGGAAGTGGAAGGAAACTTTGACTGTTTGTGACCTTTTAAACAGCAGGAGGGTTAAGGCAAAGCAACATTTACTGTACATGACACTTACTACAAAAATTGTGACACTGGTTTTTACACAATGGTGGAAATTTGGGGGATCTAGAAAGACTCAGGAGTTGGGGGTAAAAATAGAAAGCCCCTCGTACCGATACCTGTTCCTAACGAGATGCCATATTTCTCGCTGGTCCTTCTCCTGATGGGCCCTCCCCCAGGTGCAATGTTGATCTGCACGCTGGACGTCGAGGAGCTGGGTGTCGTGGTGGTGGGTGGGGGTTGGGACTGGGGAGGGGGCGAGGGCATATGCATGGGGTGCGTGGGGAGGTTAGGGGTGCCGTGCCGGAGGGGTTTGAGGAGATTCAGATGGGAGAAAGCAGGAGCTTGGATGACGCTGGGAGGCTGCACCAATGCCATTGTCTTGGGAACAGAGGCTGGAATCTACAATAAAGAAGGCAAAAAGTAAACATTTTTTTTCTTCATTTAAAGGCACATAGGATCATTTTCTTTTCATGCATCACTCAAACATCACTCAAAATCCAAAGAAGAATGTTCAAAACATAACTTGTTGAAGTTTCAGCTCAGTGGATATTACCCTTTTGTGAGAAAAGAGTCAAAATCATGCACAACCTTTTGATCGCGAAAGATGATTTTTATTAATGTTGCTCTTCGTTTCCAACGATCAGTCAACCGACATTTCTTGATGTCATATGACAGCAAACCAGACGGAAACACGTCACGCTTCCGTTTATTTCCTGAACACCGTAAGAAGTAAGCACAACAAAGACAAGCTAACCTCAGAGGAAAATGACGCTTAACCCTTTCCTTACCACAGTGTTTATTGACTTGGCTCTCCCCAGGACCAAATTGTTTGCTCAGTCATGCGGAAATCACTGGAGCGTGAACAAAATGACCACAAGTCCAAAACTTATTTTTTTTCAACCCAGATTTCAACTGCCAAGGAGTGATTTAAATCATAGGTGTTGTGTGTAAAGTTTGTTCCTCGAACCTTACTCTTTTATGTGATGTAAAAATGAAGTCCATATGTGTAAATATAAGAAAATTATGCCTGTTTGTTCATCTGGTCCCAATTATCAAACTGCAAGCCATTTCACCACATGACCGAATGGCACTCCATACCTCAATTTGTGAGTGGATACTTCTAAAGCACTTTTCTCATTTTTTTGTAATGGCAACACTATGAATAAACTACACCATTAGAACGATCCGAAAACACTCTTTCAGCTGGTATATGGTTGATGTATGGGCGGCCAAACATATCAACATGCCGCCTTTCTGAAAAGTAGTGAATATATCTGTGTTGAGGGTGTTCTGTGTGTGGTTTCCTGGTCGACTAAAGTCGCCTATGGGAACCAGCAGGGGGGTTCTTCTTGTCGACAAAAGTCGCCCATGGTAAGGAAAGGGTTAAATCAGTGACGTAACAATAGAAATCTCAATGTGCGCGTAACCATTAGCACATCCACATCATGAAGTAGTGCTTAATGTCTAAAAGCAAAATTGTCTGCTAAAGTTAGCACAACTTTGCTGCTAACAACGTAATGAAATTGGCACCAGATCTTACTTTTTTACTTGTAGGCAAGTAGTTCTTGGATGCCTCTGGCCTTGACTCCATCGGCTTCATGTGGAGGTGTGCCATCATGGCCGCTAGTCTCTCTCGTTCTTTAGCCAGCTGAATCTCCAACTGACTGACCACCTGGAGCTGGACGCGAGCCTGCGCAGTGCTGCGATCATCCAGAGCGTGCTCAGTGCTCAGGTGCCTGTCGCGTAAACATGACAACTCATGAAAGACAATGTTTTTAGTTATTACCCCTCCCCCTCTCAAAACAACATTGACCTGGTTTTTCATTTCAAATTGTTCACGGTTAAAGCACTGTTTGCTTGCACTCAAAATGTGATAGTGGTTCACTCTTGGTAGTACAAAGTAAACCATCAGAACGAACTGCATGCATTTCAGTTTGAGTAATATCTGATAGAATGTGCACCAAACCATGGCCTTTTCTATGTCATGCATAACAATCAATGAAGTCGCCTGACTGGTTCATGCAGTGTACATGAATAATAATAGATAGCGCAGTGTGATCACTCACAAAGGCTCCGGTGAGTGCTGGTTTCTTGCTAACGACCAAAAGTAGGCACCACTTATTTTCTGAATGTGCACAAGCCCCAAAAATCTTTGCATGGGCACCAGACCGATGGTGACAATACCATTCAAAAGCCTTCCACATATCTCTGTTACAATTGAAGGGATTCAATTACGGGTGAATTTTTCTGCACGGAAATTGTATCAAAACCCAAATATCTTCAAGTAATAAATATAAACAAAAGTTGTTTTTTTATTACTCACTTGAGGAAGGCTTGGAAGTCATCACAAACTGTTTCACATCCCGGCCACTTACACATGCTGTGAGCGTACAATGGATGGCTACTGGAGTTCATTGCACTTTCCTCAGGCTGTAGTCTAGAGTAAGAAAGAAAAAAAAAACAGTCAACATCCCATGTCATTACACAAACCAACTGCAAACTGTGTGCTATCCTCAATAATTAATACACACCATGCATACTTCAATAGTTGGTTACTAACATGATTGTGAACTTGGCCAATATGTTGCAGTCAAGTCCAGCAGTCCATCACAAGCCCTCACAAGTCCTCAAAAGTCATCTAGTCTCAAATTAACCGTGACAAGATGGGTCCTTTGTACTTATTGTTCACGCACTGTCGCTTGTGACCAGACTTGTGACCGGACTTGTGATTGACTTGTGATTGACTTGTGATCAACTTGTGATTGACTTGTGATAGACTTGTGATTGACTTGTGACTGACTTGTGATTGACTTGTGACTGACTTGTGATTGACTTGTGACTGACTTGTGACTGACTTGTGATCGACTTGTGACCAACTTGTGATTGACTTGTGATCTGACTTGTGATTGACTTGTGATTGACTTGTGCTTGATTGGTGATTGACTTGTGATTGACTTGTGATTGACTTGTGACTGACTTGTGATTGGCTTGTGATTGACTTGTGATTGACTTGTGATTGACGTGTGATTGACTTGTGATTGACTTGTGATTGACTTGTGATTGACTTGTGATTTGACTTGTGATTGACTTGTGATTGACTTGTGATTGACTTGTGATTGACTTGTGATTGACTTGTGATTGATTTGTGATTGCCTTGTGATTGACTTGTGATTGAATTGTGACTGACTTGTGATCAACTTGTGATTGACTTGTGATCAACTTTCGATCAACTTGTGATTTCACTTGTGATGGACGTATTACATCTTTGTTTGTACCATTGCCTTATCATCCCCACTTCACTTCTATTTCTCCAAAATGACAAAATGTGTTCATGCTGAATCTTCAAAGAAATAGAAGAAAAGGCAAAAAGAAAGGAACAAATAGAAACGCACACATGCAATCCCCAAGCTGAAACAAAAATGCCCCCAGCATCACTTAGAAAATGAAGAGTGCCCAGCAATGAATAAACACTTGTGCTTTTGGTCGGACAATCTCCCAAGACTTTCTTGAATCATTTGCGGTGGAAGAGTTTACGTTCATCGAACAACTGTCTCAGAAATTTCATCACAACAGAGAGAGAAAAACACACACATCCAGCAACCGCCCACAGGCAACTGGCTGTTGAGGGAATTCCCTAGTTACGCTGAGATGAGTAAATTGCAAAAATGCCTCTAAACCATTTGCTGCGGCTCTGTAAAACAATGCAATACCGAAGAGACAAGGGCAACAAGGTTAGCAGTCAGACAAACAGAAATTGTGGAATGGTCTCTGGAGGGCGCTCTTCAAGGAATAATACACAGAGGTCCGTGTGATAGCGCAAATATTATCAATCTTGCACGGTCCTTTTTATTCGCAAGCCGGGATTAACTTGGAGCAAAGAGATCCTGAGATCCCTACGGTAGACTCGCTAGACTAACAGCGAAGTATATAATTCCTATTATCACCAACAAACTCTCATAAACATTTACATCGACAAATGTACATGTACGGAAAGGGGGTGACGATAGACGGTATATTTTGAGAAGAGTTAATTTGTATTATATTGGCAAAATAATTTTAGCTGCCTATTGTAATGAAAATGTAACTAATATCGTAATAAACAACAGCTGGTTTTTTTTTTTAACTTTAACTTTCTAGCTCATTCTAACAGTAAGCTTCAAATTGACTTCCGCATACTGGCCTAATGCACGATAGACGTGATCCAAAAATTCAAATTTTGAAAGATTACAATTTTATTTGGAAAATTGAAACCAACATTTTCAAGATGTTTAGAGAAACGGTAAAGTTCTTTGATTGCAAGGGGTACAGTACTTTTCAACCGCCATGTAGTCTTTTTGGAGAGCAGAGAGTAAAATATAGTGTTGACCTGTACCATGCGACGACCTACCAAATTATTATCAAAAAGCTCAATTGGATTAAAGATTGTACTGGTACTAAATTGCCCGATACCGTCTTGCTGTCATTTAGCAGAAATCAAGAAATGCAGGCGATTTCCAACGATCAGTCAATTGACTGATTTTTGGAAATAAAGAGTTATTTAGATGTAATTGTGATCAAAAGGTTGTGCATGGTTTTACACTACTTTCACGAAAAGTGCTACATCCACTGAGCTGAAACTTCAACAGGTTAGGTTTTGAACATTCTTCTTTGGATTTTGAGTGGCGTTATTATTGAAAAGGCACAGCATGTATGAAAAGCAAATGATATGCTTTTAAGTTACTTTGATATCTTACATCATTCCGTGTGGAGAGATCATAAACTGGGCCGGGTGCAGCATAGCTTCGTGGGCACCGTTAACCATGGGTCTGGTGTGCTGCGATGTTGGTTGGTTACCGGACCCTGAGTTGGCTTTACCGTCCTCCGAGGCACCGGTGGTTGCTGAGACTTCCTTCCAAAGAGATTGGATCTCAGCCTGGCTCATCCCTTTAACAAAATAATAAATAACGGGATATCAAAGGTTTCACGGATTTCCCATTTTTTTTTAATCCCATGTCACTGAGAATGTCATGTCATACAATTCTCCATTGTGTATCTAAATTGTACCATAAAAAGTTCATTTTTCTATTTCTTAGAAAACAAACAAACAAACACCCCAGCAAACAAACAGTTACATGTAAGTGCATGTCAAAGCTTCCTGCAGCTTTCTTCAAGGATTTTTTTCCTGTTACAAGTACTTCATGTGAGGGATGGGGAATGGTATGGGTCACGTAACCCTTAAGACCCACAAAGGGGTGGCATGCATGGGTGGCTAGTGTGTAAAGCGCTCGTCCTCTCACCACTGTGGCCTGGGTTCGATTCCCGGCTCAGACCACATGTGAGCAGAGTTGCACGTTGATTCTCTCCTGTGCCACAAGGGTTTTTCTCCGGGCTCTCCGGTTTTCCTCCCTCCACAAAAATCAATACTTTCGATCTCTGGCTGTACTCCGTGGTCAGACATGGGTCGTACGGCTGGCTGCCAAAGGCGCCTTTACATGCCTTCGGCTCGACCAAGTTTTAGCTGCGTCCTTTGCAATTCAGCTTCTCAGCTGCGAGTAAGGATGATTAGTCCCCCAAATTATTATTATTATTATATTATTAAGAAAAGGCCTGTAGAGAGCTCTTACCCTGGGGTATGTGGGCCAACGTGATCGGTTGTCCCACGGCGGCCTGCTGCGCTAACAGCTGACTAGCCGCAGCAGCCTGCTGGGCCTGTAGCGTCTGCAGTAGGTGAGCCTGCTGCATGGCCAAGCTGTGAAGCTGTTGCTGCTGCTGCTGTAGCTTGTTGCTGCCCTTACCGCCGCTGTTACTCTCCGCAGCTGCTGTTGCCGCCTGCATCTGTTGCAGCAGTTGGGCTTGCTCCTGCAACTTCTGAAAAGATAAGAACGCAGACTCAATTAGCAGAATCTTTTACTCAACTGTCAACTCTGTGTAGAGTAAATTGCTTAGGGACACTGCAGATAAGAGGTTCCCGATCTAAACCTAGAAATTAAAGACATTTTCAAATGACTAAATGACCTGCTACATGTATAGTGACTGTTCATTTAAATTAATGATTTAAAGTGAAGGATTAGAAATTGCACAACTCTGGCATGAATGGATTTGGAGGAATAAAATGTTAAAGCAAATATTGTTACACTGACTTGTTTCACGTTTTTGGTTCGTAGATGCTGGAAAACCCAAGAAAACCAATCATGTTCTTGTAGTCTGGTTCCCTGACCCCACTTAAGATGAAACAAAGCAATTTATAGACGTTGGGGAATTATTAGGTCAGAGAATCAGTCTAGCTGGTTTGTACCCCTTCACAGGTGTGTAATCAATTGCAAAGAAAATGCGGAATAACTAAATATGCAAAATTTGGAGCAGTTTTTGAAGAAAAAAAAAGTTTTCTCCAACGCTGGTCGGCCGACCAGCGTTGGAAATCGATACAAAAAGACCACTTTACTTAAAGATGTCAGCACACCAGGAGCCTCGATTGTACGGAATGCTTTAGACTGTCATTCCCTAACAGTCCAGTAAAGAATTTCGTGGTAATTTGATCATTTTGTTTTTTGATGTTTGCGAATGTTGTATAAACTCCGTAGTCCATTCAGTGGAATCCACTGGTCCCATAATGGGGCCCATTAGAGAGAAGACAATGTGAAGAAATTACAGTTTTTCAGATGTGGGAGGAAAATCCCAAAAGCATATTCTGAGGAAAACACACAGAGGGACTGAAAACCCAATCCACATATTGGAATCGAACCCTGGTCACAGCAGTGGAAGGCGAGGAAAGTACCACTACGCCAACCTGACCCCATTACACATTGTTCAATTGCCCACACAAATTTGACCAAACCGTATCATGTCCGTTCTTGAAAACAATCCATGAAGACGTTAATCAACAGAAATATTATTCTAAACAAAACCTCTCTGTGAATACAATCACATAAATAAAGACTCGCTTTTGGCTTCTACCTTTTTTTTTTAACATAAAGTAAAACTACCGTCAAATAATGACTAAAAACCCAACTTTTTTTCTACACTCAACAGAACAAAAAACCTGACAAACAGAAATTTGGAGACAAAACATCCTTCCACAGCAACACTACAAAACTGAAACCAAAAACATCACGCTATAAAAGGACACAACACAGGCATCTAAAAAAAAAACAACCAACAAAACAAAACAATACAAGTCAAACAAAAAAACCTAACAAAAATATTGAAGTTTGTGTCATGTACACAAAAGATCGTATCTTTATGGCTCTATGACAGAAACCAAAACATTCTTTTTTTAACTTCTCTCTCAAATAAAGCAAAAACAATTTGTGTAAGATTGCTTTAACTCAACTAGAAAAAACAAAGAGAAAAAATATTTTGGTTTTCTGTTCCTGCTTAGGAATCAACATGTAAGTTGTGATATTTACAAGCTGAATTTGTTTTGGATAATTATTTTTGCAAAGTTTTCTTTTATAGTGTTTCTATGAAATATGTGTGAGAGGTCCTTACAACCACACAAGTGGTGAAAGTCATTCCTTATATCCTTTTTTTGAAATCAGATAAAAAGTTTGAACAGAGAAGATGTAAAATAAAGCAAAACAAAGGTTTGTAAGGAAAAAGCAATCAAACAAAAATGACAATAAAGGTAATATAAAACATGTGCAAGCATTAAAAAACCTACCAAATTATTATCATATACCTTACTTGACTGTAAGTGAATGAAAGTCTCAAGCATCCTGTGAAATCATGGCACCTGGTGTGCTGTCATTTTCAAGAAAAGTGGAAGTTTTGTATCAATTTCCAACGATGGTCAGCCAACCATCGTTGGAAAAATGCAAGCCAGCTATTCTGGTTCTCTGACCTGACAATTCCTATCTATAAATTGCTCTGTTTTGTCTGGACCAGGGTCTGGGAACCAGACTTCAAGAACAGTTTTTCTCTTGGTTTTTCCAGCATACATGTACATGTATATGAACACAAAACTTTATACAGGTTAGTTTCAACAATTTTTTTGCTATAAAATTAACCCCCAAATCCATCTATTTTTGAAAATTACGGCAAAAGCAAATGTTGTATTTTTCCTTTAAACACCAAAATAGTATCAACAACACCCAAAGACAATTCAGATACATGTACATACAGTTACACACAAATGTTCCGACACGCCTATGTTCCCCCACCCCTATGTTCCGACTGCACATATTCCTATTCCTATCCCTAACCCTAACCCTAACCGGGAGTAACACAATCTTATGTACGGGTTGTGGGAACATAGGGGTGTCGGAACATAGAGCAGTCACCATATCTACAACAGCTCACTGTTTTTCAGTGTGCCACGTCCTGTCAGTATTTTAACAAAGTGGGAAAATGCACGTCTGAGTGGCTTATCTGATAAATTCTGATTTGTTTAGATTTGCCCAACTTTCTGTCACCTTTATTTTCTCGGCACTTCTGTTGTTTTGTTTTCTTTCCCTGAAAGTGTTTTGTCACCAAACAGAGTCTAGAATCCAAACGGTTTTATTTTGTGTTTATTGCTGCGCACTGTCTATCCCTTTTCTCGATCGCTTGAATTTTGTATGGAGTGACTCGTTGTCACTTTGAAGATATCTACAGTCAAAGTTATCTTGACACTGAAAAGTAATCTGGGCACAAGACTGGTAGGAAGCTAACATAGCACCAAAAACACTGAACTGTGACTTTAATGAGCAAACTTCTTTAAAAAAAACACCCAAAAACAGCAGGATAAAAATATTCTGCACATTTATTTTTTATCTGCAAAATCTGCCTTTTGTTTCATTTGTACGTGTTGGGCCATGAGCCCAACACCTATTTGTTACACTACGAATTTACTATTATTATTCTCCAAGACACATTTCGGGCAATTCTTCTCCAGAACTGTTTGTCAAAATGAAAACATACATGAAGTTCAATTGTCAATACATGAATGCACAACCCCCCTCAAGATGTGCTTTTTGGTTATTACGTCATTATGACGTCATCATGGGTCACGTGACGTCACTTGAAAGATTAATCAATTAAATCTTTGAAATTCTATATAAAATCAACCATGAGAGGCTGGAACTTGAATTTTGCGGGAATCAATTTGATAATACATGATCTTCATTTTATCTCGTGTGCGTCAAATCCTTCCGGTCGAAACTCGCAAGTGCCTAATAATTTGAAAGTGGAAAAAGATATGAACTTGCTTTCAACGATGTTAGTCTCTGGGTAGGTTGACCTTTCCAAAAAAATGATCGGTGATGCCATGAAGTGTTCGAGCGCCCTCTAGCGGCAGGTTAAAAAAATGTCCACAACGCATTTTCAGTGGATGTATGTGGCGAATTTGTGGTAATCGCTTCAAAATTAATATATATATGATGAACTTAATGCAGACAAGACCTGTGCGTGAAAATTTTTTTATTACGTCATCAGACCGGAAGTTAGAATGAAAAGACCTCTTTTCCTTTGAAAATTCAACCCTCAACATCAACATCAACATCAACACCAAAATCAACAATCAACATCAACAATCAACCTCAACAATCAACAATCAACATCAACAATCAACATGAACAATCAACAATTGCGAAATAGCCATATGTTCCGTTAATGTAACAGACATAAACCTCTAGTTTTGCTTGTTATGGGCATTGATTCGCCTTTGACAATTGTCTGTCATTCTAGACTGTCAGTGTTTCTAGCAAACGTTTGTTAAAGAGGTTGTGGAATGCTCGAAGACGTTTCCGTCATTTTTCGGGTATATGTAGCCTATGGTGTGATGAAATAAAAACGACTATTGTGTCTGTCATGAAATGAGTACAAAAGGTACTTTTGAGAGCTGTTTTTCAGGTCCTGTTTCGACCCGAACGTGCAATTTGTGTAAAAGTCGTCGTTGGGGGCAGCAAAAAAAATAGTAAATCGTGACGTAATAAAAAGGACTCCGATGCAGCGTAGTATAAACGAGTCCTGTTTATTACGTCACGATTTACTATGTTATTTACTGTAATTTAAGTCCAAATAAATTGATTGTTCTGAACTGAATTTGAGATTTTTTTCAATTCTAATATATTATATGAAGCTATGCCTATCTTTTACATGTACACACAACATGTATCTTTTATATACCTCAATCCAAGAAAAAAAAAGCCAAAAAAAAAAGCCACACCAGGAATAACAAGTATGGCACTAAAGTGTGTGTGGGTGTTCTGAAACTCAAACGTTTCGCAAACAGTTTCACTATCTTTCCAGAAGTGTTTGGGGACACAACAGAATCCTTGGTCGGCAAATCAACTCATCCCACAAAGACTCATGAAAAGACTCGCTCAAAATAGTTCCATTTTTCAGAAAACCCTGATGTCCCGAACTATGGCTACAATCAGAGGAAAAAACGGAGAAAAAAATAAATAAAAAAGGAAAATAACAAAACAAACCCCTCCCCTCTGCAGTTTTCAAAGCAAGGGTTTCGGAGTGAACAATTATGAATAGCGAATCATAGAATTTCAGCGCAGACCGCAGATTCGTGGACAATGGGAGTCCTACCCAGCACAAGGGCAACTGTTCAAACAACCGAGGGGAAAAACGGCATTATGGGACAGTATGTCAGCAAGTACACAAGCTATACTCCGTGCAGGGGAAAAGGGAAAAAAATAGAGAAAGTAAAAAGGCAGAGATAAAAGAAAAAACAAGAAGGTTGTGTATCTATCAATTTCCTGCCATTGTTGACAGAAAGACAGTGGTGACATATGTGTAATATCATGACAGAAGTGTACGTGTGCGTGTCGTGTACCGGTACATGTAAATGGGCATTAAAGTTGTCTAAAGCTTTCTGTATAATTTTTTCTCAAAGGAAGGATATGGTCTAAGTAGAGTTCAAGACCAAATAACTGAAA